CTGAAGCGTCGAATGGTGTTGTTGATAGAATTTTTGCGATTCCTCGTTTGAAAGTGCTTTTGAAGTCGATTGTAACCTGATTTTACAATTTAATAAGAAAATCGTAAATCAAAGGAAAAACGACATTATTTTAGGATGGTTTAGAATAAAAGTTGTCTGAAAAAATAGGTAATATAATATTCTTATCTATGCTATATTAATATATTTTCTACATACTTGACCCTAATCCTTTTTAACTTACAAATACACTGAAGTACTATAAATTCTATTCGTAGCATGTTCTACGCCGTAGCATGTGTTCGTAGTATAACCTTACTTAAATATTAATTTAAAAATACTTTCTAATACTATCTTGTATCACTCATATTACTATTCGAAAGGTTACAATAAATTATTCAATAGAATTGTAAAATCGATATCGATATCTCATTCCTGGATCAGTTATTTTTTTGTAACAACGGAAGTGTTTGAAATTATAACTCCATTAGTTGAATGTGAAATGGTTTTGTGACTATCAAAAATCACTTTATTATTAACTGGTAATTTATAATACGTTAAGGTTCTTTAAAATAATATTCAAATAAAAAGATATATAGTTTGTTGTTTGAGAACAAACTTTGATGTGAAACTTTCTTTCGTATCCCTTAATTAGGGGTTATTATAATAATGACCCGTAATTAACTAGTTAACATAATACTTAGGGAGCTCATACTAATTTAAAATTGTAGTACCAAATGTAACATACTATATCAAACTTAATAACATAGGATTAGGGAAAACAGTTTATGACAAACATACTTGTATCGTGCCAGAGTTTGTTCGTGCTATTTCGTAGCCTTCGTAGCAACTTCGTAACAAGCACGTGAAGCTAGATGTACTTTAAGATATTTTTTTGTTTTAACATTTACTAATGCCAAGATCTAAAAAAAGCTATTTTATAATAATGTTTCTTATCTATCTTACTAATATTATAAATGCGAAAGTTAAGATGGATGGATCCATCCATCCATCTAAACTTTGTTTGTTAGAGTTTGTAGCCTAAACGGCTGAATGGATCTCGATGAAATTTGTTATAGACTTAGAGGATAGTCTGGAAGGACACTTGGGTTACTTACTTTTGCTTTTTTAAATACCATGCGGACGGAGTCGCGGGCAAAAGCTAGTTAAAAATATATTTCAATGTAGGTTTATTGATCCGCGTGCATTAAACGCACTTCAACATTTCCGTTTAAGTGGTATTGAGAGGAGCTCTTATTGCGATGACGTCACATATAGCTGTGACGTCAGCAGTAGGCGGTAGTTGAAGCCTTTAATGCATTAATGTATTACGTAGGCGAGAGTTAATTCATTTGAATATACAAAAGATAAGTGAAAATATCTTCGTCAACTCAAATAAAACGTTTTTTTTATATGTATTACAAAGGTGGCAAACGAGCAAGCGGCCACCTAAATCCGTCAAAATGGCGAAGTGAGCTCTGCACATAGACATCCGCAATTACAGATGCAGAATATGGACATGTTTAATTGTTCTTAAGGTTAGGTTTCAACTTTAGGAAAGTTACAAAAAAGGTTTTGTTTGCTAGTGAAATAATCAAAATTTACGTAACCAAATTTAAAAAATCGATTACTCATACTATAGAACTCTACTTTTATTATAAACTAGCTGTTCCCGTGCGGCTTCATCCGCATGAAATTGTGAAAATTTTATTTTATTGTTTACATTTGTCAAATTATCAATAGAAACCGTCAAAATGACATGACATGACAAACCTTAGCAATCTTTCTTTCTTAATGTTGGCAGCAAATTTATGGTCTCTTTCCCACATTAGGGTTTTTATCCAAAACATTTACCCCCTAAGTTTAATAGCGTTAAAATATATACCCTAAAAGAAGAGTTATCCAAAAATATGTTGTAATTGCTGACATCTTAGGCAACAAAGAAGTGTGTGTTTACGCTTTGATATAATAGTATAGATTTGTTGAAAATATTTTGTTAAACAATTATTCCTTTAAATAATGTTATGAATTAAAAAATATTTTAATTAACTGCTCAATAACATTAATGCTTAGGCTTATTATTACTATGACAATGGCATTTTATAAATCGCAGTCACTAAAGGCTAGCTAATCTGACAAACGAACAATTATTAACTTTCATTAGTGGAGCTTTGAAAAAAAGCCATTTTGCGTATTTTCCAAATGCCTATTGACAAAGCTCTGTATGCCAGGGATTTCAATTTTTAATCTTAAAAATCAATAATTTGGCTAGAAATAAACTCCTTATCAATAAATAAAACTCGAAATTTTGTCTAAAAATAACAATTTATTCGTTATATTCAAAGATTTTTAAAAATTTCACACTATATTTGAATCTCTTCTGTTTTACTCAAACGTAGTTAGTTAAATTCAAGCCAACAAACCGAGTCGACACACAAAACATAATTCAAACTCCATTATTACGTGTCCCCAAACAAACACAGTAAATAAGTCAAACTTGAACCAGATATTAGCGGCTGGAAGTTCCTCGTACGAGTGCTAGATTTGTCAAGTTGTCGACGTTACAAATGTTACTTAGTACACATTTCAGTCGAGGGCTGTGATTATTTAGATTCCAACCCCGCCCAGTCCGTGGCCTCAAGTTAACCGAGGCCAGAGGCCAGTGTAGTATTTTATTTGATATTACTTTACAGCCAGCCATCAAAATTTGGTCGTTCAAATTTCACTATACATTTTCGAATAGCGTGCCCTCTTTAACCCATTTATTGTAATAAAAATAACTACGTTTATTAACATATTCATAAAGATAGTAGAACTGATATGTTTGAAGACATATGAGTACCATAAATGTAACCCTTTTAAAAGTTTTTAGGAAAAGAAATGTGTCTTCCGCTGCTAAATATCTTTGAGAGAAAAGCGCCGAGCCACTTGACGGCAAATCTTATTCACATTTTCTCACTTTCGTACATTCAGACTGAGACTGTCTCTTTTAATGATATCTACAGATGGAATAAAATTTTCTTCTATTCATGAGTTAGTCTTTGAAAAATCTTCAAGATGATGAACATGAGATGAATTGACGCAATCTGAAAACTTCAATGTGGCTTAACTTTCCGCTGTAATTACGCGAAATATTGGTCGCTTTTATAACGTCGTTTGCGGTACACTCCTAGTATATTACAATTGTATAGCACATAAGTTTAATATTGTGTACTCTTCGTAAATAATTTATTCACATCAAGCTAATTAACAACCGCTTACTAAATGAAATAGCATTTATAACAAGCTATATTCTAGCAAAATTCGCCTCATACTTAATATTGCTATCTCTGTTTTATTCTAAGACAACGAGAGGGATGTTAATATATTTTTGTAAATATATTTAGAGCAAACACCCACGGTTATAGAAAGTTCGTAGAGAACTATAAATGAGGTTAAACCGGAATATTTGAAAAGGTCAGTATATTTATAAATGGAAGAGCTACTTTCGATTGTGTTCTATCGTCTACGATATTACGACAGATTTGGATTTAGTTTAATCGATATATTTAATTATTCTACTTCTATTATGAGATTTTAATGTTAACGAATACTACTGTATATTACAATAAGAGCGTGCGCACACCTGAAACTATCATACAACTGTGTAGTAGGTATTTGATTCCTATAAGCGTATATGGAGCACACTACTTTGTGCAACTAAACAGTTGACTTGCGAAATAATCGACAATCGCACAATTGTTATGCGATAGATTAGTCAAAGACGTGCGCCGGCTTTAATTTTATTGTATCATAGAAATATTGTTGTCTATTTCTTGAATCTGTCAAATAGTAGAGTATAAATTACTCCTGAATTTTAAGAAGTTCAAACATTACGATGTTAAATCCAACGCAACTGAAATTAACCTACATCTTTCATGGAGGTAGTTGAACAAAATTCAAATCAGACCGACATATAACTTCTCAATATAATATTGATAAGTTATTTGTCAAATTGACTAGCTTTAGTTCTCGACATCGTCCGCGCAGATTCTTCCATCTATTTATAAATATAGCCTATGTTACTGTGATAATAAAACTCTCTAATGTCAAAGAATGTTTAAAACTAGTCCAGTAGTTTTGAGTTTGTTCCTTACATTTAAAAATACAAATATTTCTTCTTTATAATAATATAGATTTGTAAAGAAGATATTTTGCAGATACCGATATTGTATAAACTTTAAACAAATAAAAAGTTCGCGTTGTTTGGAAATTAATTCACGCTCCTCAGTATTGAAAGCCGTTCGCTAACCCACTCGGCCATTCTGACTCGAGTGACCTAAATAATTGACAAAAGTATGTCAACTTATAACCTATTACATCATAAATTCAAAGATTTATTAATATTATCGACACCTAACATCCTTTAATATCGTTAACAATAAAAAATATGCAATTTTAAGGGCGGTCCACTCACGACGCACGTTGAAACGGCCACAAGATGGCGAGTGATGCTTCAGGAGCGATAAAGAGCGCAGTTAACCTAACCGCTGCATGCGCTCATATTAACATACATACATTTTAATGACTTAAACTAGGATCAGAATTAAGCTCAACTTAATATGCATAATTGAATATTTATTTTATAGTGAATATTCAAAAGAAATAACAAGTTGCCGGGGCTTACTTAGTAATTTTCTGCGGGTGTTTTGCTGCTGATGATTGAAACATCAAGTGATGATCTATATAATATTACATAGACACATAACCTATTAATTTAAAATATCTTAATTAAAAGCTTTCGTATAAGCAGAAGCCAGGATACGTTTACAATGTCATGCATATTACGGATTTTTCGTACTTTTATAAAAATGGATAAATCTCTTTGAGATTTAAGTTACCAGGACAACTAAAGAGGCTAGGAGTTAGGGTGGCAGCGCGCGGGGTCGTCGAACGGCGTCGGCGACGCGTCCGGGCCGGGAGGGGCGCCGGTTTCGGCGCGCGCTATCGATCGGATCGCATACCTTCCTGCGGCCGCAGCAGAGCATCCTCCGAGCGCGCGACTGACCGCCCGGCGAAGACTTCAACCTGGCTAGCTTGCGCCACTGCATGGGGACAGGTTAGCGCGGCGCCTGCGGACGCGGCCGCGGGGCCGGCTGCTCGCGCATCGCGCCGCCGCCGGGCCTGGGACGCGGCCGGAGCGCGCGAGCCTTCCTCGCGGAGTGCCCGCGCCCGCCGCCCGCCGCCCGCGCGCCTGCGCCGACCCGCCCTCGCGCTCGCGACACGAACCCCGAGCTCTCACCCCACACCCGAGGCCCCCCGCCTGCCCACTTACTCCTCGCGATTAATAATTCCGGCTACGCTGGCAGTGCGTATGTGGGTTAGTTTTTTGGCGATCGATGCGATATTCGGTGCGAGCCGTTTCAGAGGTGCAACCGAGTCGACAGTCGGCCTATTAGTGGCCCGCGACATCGATAAGGTCGATGTTTAGTGACGTGCTCGCATTCGCAATTCTAACCCTTTAGCGAGCCTGTATCAATGGTCATTTAACTAACCTGAACAGGTGGTCAGTTACAATAAACTGTTGTTGTAGTAAAGCCGACTTACCGCTTGCGTAATTTTTCTCCAAAGCCATGTTACCTCATTGACCAAGTTTTAGAATATGTCGAGTTAATCGAATACATTTCGCTCGGCGTTTCATCATTCTTTGTATTGGAAAATAATTTTCAATTTAAAGTTTAAGTTAATAAAGTAGATAAAACTTTAATCAGCTTATACAAAAATGTTACGTTTGATTTGAAAAATATTCCTAATAAGCTACTCCGCAGGTCGGTTTTCCTAACTTCCTCTAGCCACACAAAGGCCCGTCAAAACCGCATGAGGGTGGGTCGCAAACTTTGCTTAGGTACTTTAAGACTCCGTTACTGTATTGCGGCCTTAAATTAATAGAATTTCTACGAGCTTTCTGGTATCCAGCTTACATACTTAGCATACAGAAATGTGTCCCAAGCACAGTGGCCGCATTAAGCAATCAAACAATAACTTGGATATAATTAAAAACTTTTTTTTGAAATGCCGCTTCAAACAAAATAGTGTACCGGTACCCTTTAAAAAATCGCAAACGTTTGACGCTCAATCTTTCATTTGCATGCATCAACTTGGGCGTTTTTTCGGTGACTAATCCAGTTTCAAACGAAGTGTTATTTAAAAAGTTTGGAGAACTTCATTAAATCTAAAACTTATATCCTATGAAATGTACTAAAATTATTCTAATTAGCAAAGTAACAAAATCATGTTAAACATGTTGACGCAACGCTAATGTTTTCATAAAAGGGGATCGCGTGCTGATAGCCTTAAAACGGTTGTGAAAATTGCCCCACGCACACTCGTCGTAATTCAAATCGAGATTTGAAACACCTTTGGAGGTGAATGTCACTAAACGTGTATAGTCTGTGACCTGGAATAACTAAGCTGAATGAAAGCAACGAAGAACCGTTAACAATGAAAAATTCACAAGGTAAAATTAAAATTGACGTAAATATTAAACAATTAACTGTTTGTCCACGCCCGCGACTTTGTCCACGCACTATATTAAGATAAAAAAATAGCGTATAACATGCGCGTCTATGTGAGCTATCCTGCAGTAAAAGTCCGATAGAGATCGGCCCTGCCGTTTCGGAGGTAACCCGGAACAAACGCGGATTGCGGTCAGACTAACTGATAAAAAATGCGATTTTCATTATTAGCATCTTACCGAAATCTGGATTTTTTCTTTTGATGTTACAGCCACTGCAATTTTATTGTATGTATAGATTAGGTACCCACGGTTTAAACATCACTAATCTGACTTCCGATGTGTTTGAAAGGATAATTCGATGTTTCTAAGATATCCTTCTATTAAAATAGAAATTTGAATGGACAAAGGTGACAGTTGACTTTGAGTCGCGAGATATTTTTAACGCGTGTAAGAAAACTACATATAAAATTAGGGTTTCTTTTAATTCCATTATGAATTAAATATTAAATTATCATTGAATACAAAATATGTTTAACTGCATGAAACAACGTCGTCAGTCCCTAATTTCGAAATAGCGTGGTGTCCACCAGCCGAATTGATTAGGGCAATTTAGTAAATTATTTTTATTTTTGTTTCACCCTTAGGCGAGGACATGACGAATGCGTTTCATGCTAACCCACCAGCTTATAAAAATGTTTATAATTCAATAAGGTAGTGAGCTTTCTATGAAATGGAAAAAATTAATAAAATAATCCACTTCATGTATTGAAGTTTATTGAAAATAATGCTTTATGGGATACAATTTTTGTTTTTTTTTAATATCATATAGGAAATCCCATGTATTAATTTTGTTTAAATTTAAAATTTACCAGGTAACATTCTCAATTAAAAAAACCCACAAGCCCTCAATAGTACAATGGACCGAGGGCTGATGGCTGAAAGTAATATCCCAAAGATACTAGTATCTCTTTCTGATGGAAATTAGTCTTAAAAACAAATGAAACTGAACCTTGTCATGTCATAAGATTTCTTTTACACCATTAAAATGGTTATTTATATAAAAAAATTTTTACAATTCATTTACATGCAACATCAATTACAATTTCTTATTTTTGCATGATTGAAATTTGTCTAGTAAGGTATTTCATTGTATTTGAAAATGTTCTTCAAATGACTACACTTATCCAATAAATTGTTCTCATCTAAATTTTAACAATCTTACTAGTATTGTAAATGCCAAAGTTTGGATGGATGGATGTTTGTTAGTTATGTAAAATGGATCAATCTTGAAGAAATTCAGACATAAAACAGTCTGGAAGAACACTTAGCATACCAATTATTAATTTTTTACTTCACTATGTGCAGACAATTTTCACAATTGTGCCTTTTGTGTTTTAAATGAACCCAGAAGTAATTAAATAAATCATTCTTTTCTTTGCCGCAGTTGCTCCCACGGATCCTGCAGCATTGAAGGATGTAAGTACGCATCAATGTTACTCTTGTTATCTCGTCCGTAACTGCTATTGCTGTCACTCTGTGAAGGTAACATATTATTGAGATACTCCGTTACATGTTATGTATTAAAAATCAATAAGTAAGTATCAAATAACAAATCAAAAGTAGACTGGAAATCAACATGCATAAACATATCAGCACTTGCCAAGAGTAACTAAGATAGTTTGACATTTCAGCGAAATTAAATCAAACGAATACGATACAACAACAAAATCTTCACTGTAAATGTGAAAAAGCAGTATACAATATAAGCTTTGCCAATTGCCAAATTAAATTTGTTATGAATATAATTCCTCACATACCGTATAGCTATTTCTTGAAGAATTATTGCCCCACCGATTGTTATAATGACCACGTCGCCTTTGAAAATTCTGTTGTCTATTATTTTGAAATGAATTTTGATTTCTTCCCTGCCATCGGTCTTGTACGGGCGTACTTTGGTTCAAAGGAATAAAGTCGTCAGACATTTTTAATATTCACTTCACACGAATAAACTTTACCTATTTATTTATATCAAAATGCAACAGTCGCGAATAAAACGATTGATGCGAATACTTATAGTGTTATCTGTGATAATTCCTGTGTGAAATTCAATTACTTTTGAATTAAATTCATATTTGTTTAAAACATAATGACTTACTTATAATCAAATTCCTTAATATTAATAATGTAATAATAGATTTTAAAATATTATTTAAATATTGACAGGACACCTGTCATCTGTCAGATTTTCGATTGGAATGTCAAATGTTGAGCAAAGATAAACTAAAGAATATTTGAATTTTTAGAATGACTTTAAATTCACATATTTTTGTCAAAATCAGGTGTGCAAAAGCTGTAATCTTTTTCTTTTATCACCGTGCAATCTAACATAATGCGCTATTCACAATTCGCCGTTTCACAAGCAATCAAACAGACTGGCATTCAACTGGCACAGTGTGAACACTATGTGGCGCCAGTGAATCCTCACAATCTGTTATATATTTGTTTCTACATTGAGAATAGTTTAAATCAAATGAAACATTCTTGCTATCATGCTGTATTGTGATACTCTACACATCCTGCCGCAGTTGGCATATCTAGCAGTGACGCCAAATTTATAACAATGACTGGCCGTTGCAACTACTAACTGTACTGGCCAAGTGTGTACCACGCAAAACAACTGATTTGTATATCTGTAATCTGTGAATTTGAGAAGTGAGAAGTGTTGAAGTTGAGAGCTGTAGTACAATTTGTGTTTATTGTTTTTGGATAAATTTTGCATTTAATTTTATTACTATCAGTGATGTCTTGTGGTGTTGATTTTGTTATATAAACGTTTCATCGTAAAAATGTGGATTGCATCAAAAACACCTAAACTAGGTGTCGGTAAGTTTGACATACAGTTTTAATCAAAATTAATGTATCCTGATTACTTCTACAGCGGAAATGTTAAAACATGTCTTGAATTTTTAATAAATAATATTTTAAAATGTTACTTCTACTTACTTGGATGACCTGCTTCAGTTTTCTTGACATTTTAAGCTTTAAGTGAGTACAAAGGAATATGCTTTTTTACACAAAAGACCCTAACAATTCTGCGAGGAGTATTTTTTTATGTCTATAGTTTAATATGTTTTGTAAAATTCCTTTGAACTAGTCATGCAATGGCACTTATTCAGTCTTCTAGTTTTTGATGTTTTTTGTCTAGTTAATATTAAGATTTTTTTAAACTAGTTTCTGCATCTTAAGTATATTATAAATCTGTTCTTCTGAGTATAAAAACCTTTAATTACTTATTGATGTCTGGAAATTTATATGTATTGTGATTTTAAAATAAATAAAAATATTTCATATTCTTGACTATTGCAATCTTAAATGGATAAGTTTTAAATACCAAAGCTAATTATAAATAACAATATTACAATTACTTAAGCAAAATAGGAAAACTTTTTATATTCATATTTTGTTGTAATAAACCCACATCTTACCAAGCAACTATTGCAGTTAAAACTTACAAGATTTTATTTACTTATGTTAATTAAATCATTATTTTGAACAATATACTTTGTGTCTTCGGAATCTATTGCAGACATGCCAATTTACATCCAATGTTCACGTCTTAAAAATAGAACATTGATTTTCCCTTTAAAATTACTGGTACAAGCAATCATTCCTTTAAAATGTTTTTTTAGCTGTCTACAATTGGAAAGGAGATGTACGTTCCGGGCTACCTTTGGAGATCGGAGAGACAGTGCAAATATTGGAAGAAAATGGAGGTAATCTAATTCAAATATTATTCAAGTTTTGATGGTTGGATGGATGTTTGTTACTATACTTAGTAAGTGATACTTCTTCTAAATGGATTAACTCTGATTTGGAACAGATGTAAACCATAGTCTGGCATATTTTTAGTCATTTTTCCTTTACACCCTTAAGAGGCAAGGATGGGAAGGAAAAGTGGATTTGACAGCGGAGGAGATGCATGGGAAGGGGGAATATCCTATGTGTGTGTCCTCTGTTGATTAAGGGTAGGCAATGCAACTGCATTTGGGGATGTTTCAGCAGCGTTTGCTACGCCATTTTAACAGATTCAGGTGGCCGCTTGCTTGTTTACTTTATAATACTAAAATAGGATACTTAATAAATGTTTTATTAATTATGCACCTACAGAGTTGTGTACTAAACAGTTTTAATATAATTTCCTATGTGAATGATCTGATCAAAGTGACATGAGTTAGTATGAAAATAATTTTCATGCCCTATCCTCCGATATACCAAGTAGGAGAAATAAATAAATTATGACAGTTTTTTTATTGGCTAAATTTATCTCATTTAAGTCTTTATAAGGTGCCTTAAACTTATTTAAGTACATAATTTTTGTATCTTCAATTGAACTAAATATTTATGTTTTCTCCTTTCAGGCTGGTATAGAGGATTCAGTACAACAAACAGATCAGCATGGGGCATATTCCCTGCATGTGTGGTGTCTATACGACCCTGTACAGTCAAAGGATCTGGAGCCACTGCTATTGCAGAGTTGAAGGATGATCCCCTTGTGCGGGAGATAGCATGTGTCTTGAGAGATTGGGCACGTTTATGGAAGAAACTATATGTGGTTAGTATAAGATCCTAATAGTAGTGCTAATATGTTGTTTACTTGTATGACTAAATCCATACATAATTTATGTGAATATCTTACCTAAAAAGAATGTATTGCCTAGCAAGTATTTATGTCTACAAGTATCTCCTTATTTATTCTGTTTAAGACTATTATTATGCAAAGAAAAAGAAACATTTTAATTTTGAGTCAACATTCTTGCAGAGTGCTAGATTTTCACATTCTATCATTGTAGAAATGCAATCTAACTAATATTATAAATGTGAAAGTGTATGGATGGATGGATGTTTGTTAAAAGGTTTCTACAGAATGGCTAAACAGATCTCATTTCATATTCTAGAAGAACTTATATGCTAATTACTAAAAATTTTTAAATTCCGCACGAACACAGTCGCGTGTGGTTGCTAGTCTATAATAATATTGTATAGGAAAAGATTTGTATTTTTGTGTTTTGAAATAATTCAAATACTACTGGACCGATTTCAAAAATTCTTTCACCATAAGAAAGCTACGTTATCGCTGAGTAACATAGGCTATGTTTTGTAATTTTACGTGGGCGAGTGATTTAAAAAAAATAAAAATGGCAAATGCGTAATAGACTATGCAATATTGATGTGTTCGTGAGCATGTTTGTACATTAAAGGCCGGAATCGAATATGATTTGTATCCTATTGCTATCATGTCATTGAAACATGGTCAAAGTCCGCAGTCCGGAAGCGATGGACGCGCGGGACATATTTATTATATTGCGTAATTGTACGCGAACATATATGGATACCTTATTGCCCCCATGTCATGGAGAACATTGACTGTTAGCTGGGAAATATATTTAGTTGATATCCACTTTGGGTTTTTTACTGCAATATTCAAATAATATTCTATCTCTATTATACCCAGTTTATTTATAGACAGTGAGAGGGAGAGAACAAATTTTTCTATGACTGTATAGAAAATGGAAATCCCAATATAATTTAGCAAAATTAATAATTTTGAATTTCCCATCATACTTTGTTGTGTATGATACAGTAAATGTTGCTTTCATAATATAATTTCGCTTCATATCATCGTTTTGAATTGACGCAATTGTTGCACAGACATTAACTATTGTCTTGTTAAATATTTGCCTATTGTTTATCATTGCTGTTTATCCTATCATGTTGGTATTTGTGACCTCATTGCATCAAGATCTAACAACATAACATGATCGAATGAATTTGTATTTTCGGGTCTCAACCCGCGACTGTCACCGCGGAATTAAAAAAAAAAACTTAGTATGTGTTCTTACAGACTGTTTTACATTTATGACGAATTTCAACGAGATCTAATGAGCCTTTCTGCGTATATATTTTTAAATCTGAATGGATCAATCCATCTGTATGAACTTTCACATTTAAACATTACTAAGATAATATCGATAGTAAAGTGTTACTCGTTCTCACACCGTTTTGTTCTGCATTAATATGTTTACGCCCCGAGTTATATACTTTAGCGGTTTTTGTGGTTTAAGATGATACTCCTAGCGGGATAAGGCCACGTTCATACAAATTAAATCTTTTAATAATAATTCCATGAGTTTTTCCACTAATTTTGTATTCTCGTCTATTTTGCTAAATACAAGTAATTTTCATGTAATAGTTTTAATCAAAAATACGAAGCTTTTTTTTTTAAATTTAATAAATAGTTCCTAGTAATCATTTTTATAATATTAATAGACAAGATTAAAAAAAATATTATTTGTGTAGACATTTCCTAACTAGTTATATTGTCATGTTAGTTTGTAATAGATAGCCGCTAGTTTTTGTTTAAGTTAGTATTTGTTCGAATAGCTCTTCTCGTTAGTAATGATAATACAAATAAGATAATTACTGATGTTCTTTGTTTGGTTCAAGTTTTTTAAGGATGACGTAAGCTTCAAACTAATTTAAGGTAATTGTGTTTATTTTAAACCTCGAAATAGTACAGCTGAGAATTTGTAATAAACAGTTTTTTACAGTACTTCCAATTCGAAAAACAGTTGTTATTATCTTCTGCAAAATGCTTTACTATGTAATAATTTTGTACCATTCTTAAATTATTAATATTTTATATACATATCATATTTTAAATTTACTATTTTTGCGCCACTTGTGCACCTCTTCAAGCTAACATTGATAGCAAGGAATAACTTTAGTATTTATTTCTTGTACAAAATCTACATGCCGAATTTACTTTAGTATCTCTCCAAAGTGTTCGTAGTTTTTGAACCGTTATCGTGGCAAGATTTCTTTCTGCTATAAGACATCGAAACTTTTTTTTATAATATAGGGTGGCAAACGAGTCAGCGGCCACGTAAATCCGCCAAAATGGCGAAGCGACCGCTATCCACAGACATCCGCAATTGCAGATGCGTTGCCTACCCTTAATCGACGGAGGAGATGCACATAAAGAGGATATTTCCCCTTCCTATGCGTATCCCCCGTCAATTCCACTTTCCCTTCTCATCGTTTCTCATAAGAAAAAGGATGGGAAGGAAAAGGGACCATAGTTGGGCCTACGGCACCACACTCATCAGACGAAAAGCGGAATTTCTCCCACTTGACGTCTGTCTTCTGTGTGGTCGTGGTATTTCACCAGGCTAGCCAGCCCATTCGTGCGAAGATGTTAAAGCGGGCTCTACCACTGTAACACCAAAGATTGATCGTATATTTTAGAACAGTACTGTGTATGGTATACTATATAATGTGAACATAAGCGTTAGTTTTAAAAGTGGTGTAACTTCCAGGAGCGAGAAACGTACAGATTCAGTGCGGTCGCGAAGGTTATGCGAGAGTTGTTAAGCGGCCGCCGCGCACTGCTCGCCGGCACTCTCACGCAGGACCAAACGCGTGCGTTGCGATTGAAACTCGTCGCCAAATTAGACTGGGGGAATAGGTGAGTTTTTTTATTTACTTTTTAAATTATTGATGTGATTGAAACGTAAGAATGTAGTCGTCTCTGCTGACGTCGTCCGCACCTGCTACTTCGCGACCGTACACTCGCTGCTACAGTACGGCTCCGAGTTGTGGGTGCGTGCGGCCGACAGGGATAGGGCATTCTTGATGCAAAAACGCGCGGTTAGGGCGATTGCTAGGGTACCGCGGATGTCCACGCCGAAACCGTTGTTTATTTCGTACAAAATTCTTACATTGCCATAATTTTTTTTAACATTCTGACTTGTAATTAGCTTACCAATAAAATATTTTTATTTGTATTTTGTAATGTATTAATTGGTAGATATTTGACATGTTAATTGTTAATAGGATTTATTTAGGCAATAAAGAATTGCTGAAGTAAACATAAATCGCCTTTGAGAGCTAAGTTATTTTGCATTAGATATTTTTTAATTTTCAACATTTTTAAATTATCAATCACATCTTGACAATAGAATCTTAACAGTTCTTTGCAGTCAACATTAAAAATGAGAGAAAGGAACAAAAAATGAGTTTAAACCAAAAAAATAATAAATTTCTATAAGATAAGTCTCTATAAGAGTCCATCATCCATACTAATCAACTTTATACTACGAGTATAAGTATTATACTTTACACCATAATCAGACAGTACATTAATAAACTATGCAGCATAGGAATGGGCCGTTTTAGTCTATTTCACAAGTCAAGCTATCTGTAAAACTCTTCTTTTTAACATCATCTAATAAAGGACTCTTGAAATAAAACACTGATTTCTTATAATGCATTTTATTCTAAATCAAAAAGAAATTACATTGATATAGAAATCGTTACAAAGGCAGTCTTCGTAAAAATAATGTTGAATACAACAAAACGAATTTATTCTAGGAATGCTTAAATTCATACTAATCGATGCTTAATTTAGAGATGCAATAATAAAATTCATTATACTACGTATCCTAAATAATATGTGCTATTATGCCTTAATTATTAATATGGAAGAATTTTGGAGATTCATTGAAGTTGGAGAGGGTAAGGCACTTATTGTATATGGCTTAAATGACTGCTAGAAATATAAACTTATCTACTAATTATGTCAATATATGAAAAAGTGGAATTTTTCGTTATACAAATGCAAGCCTGGTGCATGTACACCGCTTCATCCCTTCAATGGCACAATGGTCAGAGTAAATGAGTATAATATTTTTTTATACAAATTCCACACCTCTTTTGCACCAATGTTCACTAACTAAGTCGTACATATTTCATTATCTTACTAAAACTAACAAGTTTTTTCAATAGCTTACGTCTTTTATAATACTATGCTATGTAAAATGAAATCAGTAGAATAGACACAATACTTTCAACGATGTAATCAAAATAATTGTCTTAAAAACTATGTTACAATTTATTTTCATGTTGAAAATGTTAAATTCTCGTTAAAAATTATTTTGAGCGATATGTCTTTTTCTATATTTTTTGTTATGTTATAACTGTCTAATTTCAACAAAGTATTTGATTTAAACACTAAAATTGGATTTTCTTACATTTACCCTGCATAGGTAACATCACAGACACTGTTTTGTTTCCCAATCTCTCATACATTTCACATTATTGCCTAATTGTCAATTCACAATGGATTCACTATATATATTTAACAACTAATGTCATGCTCGTCAATTTTGTTTACTGTCCCCAAAAGGGGTTATAAATATAAAAATACTTCCATTTACAAACAGATTGAGACCATGTAAAAGCCTATTAAGGCAAACTGTGTCTGATACCTTAACAAAGGTAAAATCGTCTACACAATAAAGGAATGTATTGAACGTAATGAAATGGAATTGTCTTCAATAGAAGAAATCGTAACACTAGGTATCGTAAGAGCGTATGAATATTTTGAATAACTAAATATAAGGAACAAAAAATGGCAATGTCTCCATACATAGTTTGAGATTTACAAATATATTCCCAATGAAGATAATGATCTCAAAAAATGTAAATGAGACATAATAGAGTTTACCGTTTAGCTTAGGTTTCGGTTTCTTTCGCATACTTTTCGATGTTAGGATAGATGGGTGCCATTTCGAGGGTAGATGGCGCGGAGGGCGCGTTGGAGCCGAGATGAAGGCGACGCGACAGCTCGTCCAGCACCTCGCCGAACACACGCATTGACATATTCTGACCGAGCAGGTGCAATAGCAGGAAATCGCCAACCTGGAAAAAAATAATAGCAATCTTAAAAACTAGTCTGTTTGAAATTTCATTACAAAGTAGTGAAAATCATCAGCGTATTTTGAAAAGTAGCCTTAATTAATAAGTTACACAAAACAATTTGTTGATTTAAATTTTTCTTTGTAGGACATCTATCCATAGTTACAGTCTTTTTAGTGTAAAAACATGTTTAAAACCATACCTGAGTCTTCCTAACAAGTGCCTCAACGCCGTTAGGTGTACCAAAGCGGAAACGTCTCTTGAGAATAGTCTCCCGGGTACTCGGTAGAAGGATTACAGCAGCCGAGTACACGAGTGCCAAGCCTGACAAGACTGATAGGATGATGAACCTAGAACCACGGAAAAATATTATAGTACATGTCAATAGCAACGCAATAGCTGTAAAGAATGACTCAATACAATTTTCTTTGTCTTCAACTAGGAAATGCCCTACAAATACGGACAAAAACAATTAATTTTACATTAGGAAGTCTTACCCATCAAGGATTTTTTTTTGTTTCTATCGTCGTGAATTTTAATGTCTGTTCATGTATTTAGCACGAAGTAACTATAAAATAGATAAGCAAATCTACTTACCAGAACCACAAGAAGATGAATATCTTTTCGTTAAGAATGTTCAAGGCGAGAACACAGAGGGCGTCGTGTTTCTGGATTGTTCCAGAAGCACCAAATTTGTGGAAGGTGCATTTAGTAACACGCGGGAACACTTCAATCTGGAAAGAAATTTGACATGATCACAGAAATTCTAGATTATGTTAGGAAATTGGATATAGTTGTTCTAGTAATTTTAAATGTAAAACGTACCATAGGGTCAGTCCGTTGCTCCTGGTTCATGTTAGAGAATTTGACGACATCAGTGCCGTAAGTCAAGAAAGCGCCGCCGAGGAAAGTGTCCAGGAAAAAGATGTTACCAACCTAAAAAAAAACATTTAATTTATTAATATTTCTTTGAATATCTCAGTTGATATTTTATTGTTAGGGTTATACTTACCACGTTGACAAAGTTGAGAATCTCACAGAAGAAATAGCCGAAAGAATAGGAGTTGTGCATGTGCAGGGTGTCGTACAAGTACTGGACCAGACGACTCTGTAAATAACACCATTAAATGGCTTAGTAAAACTATTTCCCTAAAATTGTAGACTCTGCTTCATTAGTTTTCTCTGCGTTTATAAGAGTAATGTCTATCATTTCATTGTATGTTAATGTAAACTATCAATCGGGGTTACCACATTACTATGGACGATTATGAGGATAATATTATCAAAACAATATGTAACCGGTAGCTTATGAAATGAACAATATTCATAGTACTCAAATAACGCTACTCGTGCAACAATCACCGGGTCAATTACGATGGATATCAAGTTTTATTAGCACCGTGCCTTATCTCAATTGTAGCAATTGGTGAAGCGGGACACTACATCAGTTATAATTTTATGAACAGGATCGGGATACCTGTCTCTTGGACTTGTCATCTGCGATGCAAGCGGATGTTCCTCGCATGCCGTCGGAGATCATGCGCACCTTGCCCTCCTCCCAGTTCTTCCAGATCCAGTGGGGAATGTAGAAGAGCAGACCCTGGAATTTTATTAAAAAGCTTGTATAGATTATGTCAAGTTTTTTATATAATCGAAGATGATTCGAAAGGATATATTTAGTATCAGTCAGTATTCACCATTAGTCATGTTTTAACCATTAATTATGCTAAAAACAAATCATCCACATACTATGAACTATTTAAATATTCCTGTACAAAAATTCCAATTAATTCGACCTCAAATCGTCCACTATGATGTGTTGATGATTGCAGAAATGTCATAACCAAATTTATTTACACTTTTTGGATATTAGAGATATAATTAATGAATTTTTCATGCCCTTACCTGGAAGAACAGCATAAAGGGCACCCATTGGTAGTAGGCATGAATGCGCTTCTCCTCTTCGTAGTCATTGCCGAGGCCAGGGTGCGCGATGCCTTTGCTCTTGGTGTAGGGCAGGGTGAACGTGTAGGTAATCCAGCAGTACGTGTTCAGGATATGAGCGGATATCGCGCCGTCGTTTATACACGAAATAGGATCACCTGCGAAAAAAGTTTTGATATAAACAATATACTTGTAGAAGTTTCCGGTAAATCCTGAAATTCATAGTGTTAGTAAAATGTTATCACTGTTTTACTTGATGTTAACTAGACAAAAAATAAATAAATAGAGTAGACAGGTAGTCAAATTCTCAAGGTAAATAGATTCATACTAATTTAGGCACATATGTGTAGATTTACCTATACCGATGATTCAAAAGTCATTGTCCAAGTTCAGTATTTATTTAGTGTTATCACATTGTATGCAGTCATTAGTAAACGGAAAAATAATTAAAGTAACGTCGAATATGACATTGTTTTTGTACGTTGGCTAATTATGAACTCGTGTTTCCATAAACAAAATATCTAGAATTGCCAGTGTCTTATCAATGTTTTCAATGTTTACATATTTGTAGTTTTAAAAATAAAAATCGTTCGCTCGCTCTGCGATACGTTCTTTTTTTTAATACAAATCTATAGAACTAAAAGAATAAAAGTTACAGTTATAAAAGAATATAAAAAAATGAAAATAATCTTTCTTGCTACTGATTTAGATCTTTTTTCAATGTATAGAAATCAGTTATGACGCAGTATTGCATATCCTTTCCTACGCTGATCCCAGTGTCGAGGACGTATCTAAATGCAGTGCCCCTGCCTATAGTAATTGTATCGGCCGTGACTCGAATCACCTTGTCCGTTATGAGCACCCCAACCTATACTTTGCATAATTGTAAACTAGTTTAACACGTGGGTACTGTTTTATCTGTGCGGAACTAAAGCGGATGTATTAGTGATTATAAAATATGAGTAGACTTGACTAAAATAGAAATATTACGGAAGTACAAATTTCTTTACAAGTAGACTTTTGATTGTAATCTAAATCTGACGGTAAATAATGTCCAAAACAATGTTGGATACAGTCAATTGCAATGTACTTTTCAAACTATTAATTTCCTTTACGCAATTTAATCGATTCAGCCGTTATGACTTTCATTTTATTAATTCACTAGCTGTTGCTCGCTACTTTACCCGCGTGAAATAAAAAAAATATAGCCTATGTTATCATTGATAACGTAATTTTAAATGGTAAAATAATTTTGAAATCGGTTCACTTTTTGAGTTATTTCAATACATGCTAATTACAAATGTTTCCTCTTTATAATATTAGTAGAGATTACATATACGTTGCTTGTAAGTAAACAAATATATTAAGATAAATGTTATTTTGGTCCAAAAAATAATTAGTTAAATAAGGATAAATGTAATCAAATTTTAGGGGTTTATTTTCCTTATTGCTAATAACCACAATCCGTTTCTTTGAATGCCGTTTCACTTTAACTTACGTAGTTTTTATTTATGACTAAGGTTGACTGATGAAATGCCGTACCCTGTTTGTAGTCACGTATTACCGTTTTGGATACAATGTTTACCCTCCTGGCATTGAATCATTATTGAATGCTTAGTGATTGCAAATACGACGAGATACAACACAATAAATACGATTTGCAATCTAAGTACATAATTAGAGGAAGCGATACTTCCTGTTTGCAGAATTATAGCTAATATAATGTCCTATTCATATACGAGGTTAAAGGTGAAAGAGTTAGATGTACTATTTATTACCCAACTCATAAAATGGGTAATTTTTTTTTACTTTTGTGTCTTAAGGTATACACATGTCAGTGCCAGGAGACAAGTGGCAGTCACTGGCGTACCAGCTACTACTTTATTGTACTGGCATTTGTGTACCCGCCCTTATACATTAATCCTAACTATGGAAAAAATAATAATGTATGTAAAGTCTATTAAAAAAAAGTTTGATTACAATAATGGATGACTATGTGAATAATTTCTCGCACATATCTTTTACGGTCATATGATTTTAATTAACGTTTAACGAGCATTAGTTGCTGCGTTAATCATCAATTAGTCTTCAGCCTACGTCTTTATGCAACACGGAATTAAGAAAAAATGTAGACGTAAAAGTAATCAAGTGTTTTTTTTCCGAATGACGTAAATATACTTTGTACAGATAGGAAACCTGTAAGCTTGGATAAATTATATATTTGTATAATTTACAGAAATTTTATTACTAATGTTAAAACGTTTTACTTCAACATTATTAGAGTTTATTCTAGTTAAAATAAATAAAAGACATAACTTTTGATTTATATTTTAGTTGAGCAATGTAAAATCTGTTTTGTTCGTTTTGTTCTAATGTTCGATGCAGTATTTTTTAGTAACTTAAGAACGCATGCGGGTTGATTCTCGTTATGTTAATTGTACCGTTATGTCGTTAGTTGTGCTGGTATCGGTGACACGTGTGATAAGGTTTAACGATCGTCGATAACTAGCATCGGTACGGTTTGCCAGCGCAGTACTGGGTCACGGCAAACTTGGGCTCTTTGCAAACTTTAGCCTTGCTTGTGCAGTTTGGACCTTTCGATTCCAAATTGCTATACTTCAACTTTCTATGATACATTGAAATGCAAAGTTCACGATTATAATTAGCAAATAAATAAATATATACCTGTGTAAGTTATATAAATTTATACTAGGACTTCGAAAACAAAAAGTTTTGAACAAAATCTCTGATGAATTACAATCAAAAGCGTCTAAAAGATGACCTGTATATCCGGTTACTGAAGAAAATCTTTTTTAATACGCATGTTAAAGTAGCCTTGATATAAATTCCTAGTAGGGGGCCTAGAATAAATAGAATAGCTAGACGAATAAATGTGCGACAATCGATTTAAAAGTCATATTCTAAACAATCGGTCATGCGGTCGCCAAAGTTCGTTATTGTACGCCTAGGATTTTTATATCTTTTTAACAATGGACATGAATGCAATGGCAACTGTTATAGTATTAGTATTGCGTGCATTAAAATAATTATAATAATACCTACCTGTTTTTCTTATTTTGTAACATTTTATGAGATTATACTGAGAACAGAGGTCTGTGAAATGCAATATTAATGAGTTAACCCGTTTACTTGGAAATGCATTGCTTTTTTTCAATCTTAACTTTGATGTAGATTAACTCTTTTACACAATTCATTCATATTTTGGAAATGTACTAAGCTAACACCAGCCAGAAATAATAAAAACCAGTAGACATTTTACAGAAGAATTACGCTTATTAACTTCAAGACTAAAACTAATACAGGTAAAAAAATATTTAACTTAACGTATAACAAAATAATTGAAATATATGTATTGCTTCTGCAGTTCTGAATATGCAATGTAACCTTTTTGCTTTTCGAACGTGTTGATGTCTATTATAATTATCTCACAGTTAGGATCTAATTACAATTGTTATCGCTGTTTTGATTAGTAACACCTGAAGTAGACAGACAGATTAGGCATTCGCAATGGACAGGTCACGAACTACTACGTTGCATTTTGATATCTTGCAATGCTTATGCTTGCAGTGAGATAGGATTGTTTCTAAGAACTGATACAAATGAACACGCCCTAGAACTTAAAATTATCTGTCTTTTTTATTTTTAAATTTGGATCAGTAACAATTAATGGAGTTTCTTAACACGATTACCAACGCTATGTCTTTTTGCAATATTTTATAACAATCATACTTCATACTAATATTATAAATGCGAATGTTTAGATGGATGGATGTTTGTTAGAGTTTGTAGCCTAAACGTCTTAACGAATTTCGATGAAATTAGGTAGAGATGTAGAAGATAGCGTGGATGAACATATAGGCTACACATTTCTTTTTAATTCCACGCGGCATATAAATTTATTACTTTTGCTGAATCTAGAACTTATATAGAACGTAAACGTGGATAAGAATGTTTATTTTTTGCTCATAACAATGTCGTTTAATGTATGACATTTAGGTACAGTGAACGTGATTTAATGCAATCTAGATCCGGTAATTGCTGCAGGTAATAATAATGCGCATACGCACAGCTTGAATACACGCCTTTTGCCACGCACATGCTCATTTTAGTTTTATGCCTACGTACAATAATAATAATTCTTTGTAGGGGAAACGAGAGCAATTGTAAGGACTTGTACACATGGGGTCTATTCTGGTATTGTTAGTCGGAATTGAAAAGGATTAAAGTATTTTTAAAAACAGATTTTTTACTCGTTGGGCACATTTTGGTAACATTTTTAATTGTCAAAATATGCTCACATTTTATGTCAATATGGTTACCTTACTATCTTTGTGTTAAAATATGGTCACTATATGTTTTGAGTAAGCAACTGTTTGTTTAAATCGTCACCAGTCACATATTGGAAATTGAAACCTGAGATCGTTTGATTACCTTGTGTGGATTGATCATAAGCGACAATATTATGAATAACAATTGAGTAACTGTCCACTCATCACGCTTTACGTGGAATTTAAAAAGTATCAAGTTCATATCGATTTGCGGTCAAAAAAGACAAGACTTGTCCTGTTTTGTAATCAATTCACTCACTTCATATTTTTAATCGACTACCTAATAGAAGGAGGCACGCAAGTCGTCTGTTTGTTTTTTTTGTACGTTCATTTTTACCCGGAATTAAGGATACCGTTAGAAAACTGCATAGTAGAAAATGTATAAATTCAGCTATCACATTGACACAGATATCTTATTTTAAGGCACAAGTCCATCCAATTCTTTATTTAATGATGTATTAATGAAGCACTGATACTACAGTCATTAACATACAAAATATGGGAAGCACGTGTCGGGCTCTTAATAAAAACAATAGCCTGTCTGCTTCTATTTTTTTTTCACTTACATGTGTAAAATATCTTTAAATAAATCGGAGATGAATGGTTCCAGTTCATTTAATTTTAACCACTTATCGAAGAAGTCGTTATATCTATCTTTCCCAAGACAAAAATCCCCCTTTACCTAAGATTAAAAAAAAATTTATACTAGTGTTATAAAGAGGAAAGATTTGTATTTTTGTATGTATTGAAGTAACTCAAAAACTACTTAGCCGATTTTAAAATTATTTCACTGTTAGAAAGGTAATTATATAATATTATAATATTTTTTAATTTTACGCGGACGAAGTCGCGAGTCCAGACATAAGATTCTGCACCATTCGTTCGTGTGCGCACGCATGTATAAAGAAACCGGTTCAGGATGATTGCTATTACGAATATAATGGTCGTTGTTATTTCATTCGCTGTCTGCACTACTTTGATAGCGGAATAAGCAACTTTATTGTATGTTAGTCAATTTTTATTCACATATTCATGTCATAATTAAATAGGCTAAAGTTCAAATTCCTCCAGGCCGTTGGCTATTGACACTTGCAAGTTTATCTACGTTTTGCGCGTTACAAGTGGAGATGAGCTGTTTATCGCGATTTCGAACGCTTTATTTATTAACATGAAAGAAAAAAGATGAACATAATAAACTAATTGACTAATCGCAAGCATCAGATTAAGTTTAAAAAAATAACCGCCCTTGATTATGTTAAGATTTTAATGTATGTTGAGATTTGTTTCTAGACTAAGTTATACAGTTCCTCTACCTATATTGTGCGTCAAACTAAAAAGGTATTGAATACGCAGTAAAACAAGAATAGAAATGAAGGCGTGAGTGAATGCTTGTAGCAATATACCTTTTACTTTGTTGGGAAGAGTACCTTGCAACAAGTTCAATGTCCCATACACGCTCGGTCTTAACCTTATCACGTATGCTAACACGTTGTTCTGTTTGTACTACTCATTTGACATGTCTCGATTTGGGTAACTGTTACATACTGACCGTTTAGAATAATGAACTGAAAGTGATTCATCTCTATTTACTGTTGTTACAAAATCACACAGTCCGGCTAGACGAACTGTTATTTCCGAGATTTATGGGTTATTTGGATTTCGGTTTCTAGGTCATTGGATTTCACGGTTACTATAGCAATGGTATTGTTGATCTTAATTATAACGTTTTGATTGATAAACTTTCACTTTAACGTATTATTTTCGCTTTTCACTGTAAGGTATGACAGTTAATGAAGTCATTGTATTATCAAATAACTTACCGATAAGATTATTGGCGGTGACGAGAAGGCAGCACAGGAACAGGATGGCGGACGTGATGCGGTAGTGCATTCTGAACACCATGTTGTCGATGACAGCCTTGTCGATCAGGTAGCGGACTTTGACGAAGCCCGCCACCGCCGACGCCATACCAAACAGCGCCATCTTGGATTATTTCTTCCTCTTGTCTGAAACAAACGAACCTATTTTATTTACATGCTTACGTTATATCCAACAGACAATGGTTAGGGTTAGGGGTCTATTTATAAAACCGTCACATTGACATGTCCAACGTGCCGACAATTGCCATACGGCGCACATACTAAATCGAAACTCAAACGGTATATTTTATTACGTTCTTGTAATCTGTACGTTCTCACTATTTATACAGTGTCCCGAATTTATATCTATATTTACTTTCGTCGCTCCGATAAAGGTCCGGTTTCGGGACTTAAAAGTCTCAAACGTTAAATCATCATATACCTACAATCATAAAGCATTACAAGTGACAGTACCGAAGACGTGGCATCTCAATCGATGACCTCTCATATAATTTAACGATGTAGCTACTTCTCGCCCACGCTCCGCATTAGAATCTCGGGTCCGCGTTTTTTATGAACCAATATTCGACTTCACAGTTCAAGCGGTCACACGCGTCGGTATAGACACATCGTTATGTCTATTTTTATTTAATGCATTTGCACTTACTGAGAATATACCGTCAGCTGTAGTTATGAAATATGCACGTAGAATTGAATGAATACGATCCTAGTGGGTAATTCATCACAAATGGATTTGACCTTCGCGACTTCTTGATCCCGTTCCTACGCAGTGTCCACGCTGCTATTTAGGTCACATGCTAGCAATAAATTAATATCATTTTGGTCTATCTGTTTTTACCGCTCGTCTAGTATAATTACTATTTTGTAATGTTGTTTATAAATGTTAAGTAAGACGTTTATATGTCTTGGCACGTAAATCTTAGGATAACTAAGTACACTTGAAAAGCTTTAATCATAATCTCATAATCGCGGTAGGATGAGGTCGACCGCGACGAAGGCGAAGTGTGCGCGGGCGCAGGGCCGCGGCGGGTCGTCGACCGGCGCTCGGCCCATGCTCGGCCTGCGCTCAAACCTCCCCTCGCTCCGTGCGCCCCGGCCTGCTGCTCCTGCAGCGAACCGACGGCAATTTTACGCGGAAACCAGTTTTGAAGTTTGCGTAGCGACAATCTTGAACGATTTGGCGAACTTACAACGGTTGGCAGTTGGATTTCCCTGCACGCCCGCACAAACATTTGTCTCCTAATATAACATGTTAACTACCCGGAATTATCATAATTGTGTCTTATGACGCTGTCGTAACGAACGAACATCTCATATCGTTAAAGTATTCCTTTAACGAGTGTTTGATTTGTGCGCTGTTTGCTCAGTGATAATAACGTAGGCGTGAAGCAAAGGGCACGAAGGAACATTCTTTTTTTATGACAGTCGCAGACGCATACGTCATGCCGTTCTTTGTATTAGCTTTGGAAACCAGATACGTTGGTCTGATATTATTCTTATAGTGTTTAATTTTTGTCTTACTTACAAATTATGCAATCTTTAGCATGTTTAATGAGTCATTATAATTTAAATTGAACAAAGAATGTGGCGAGCCGAGGTTGTGCGCATCGCTTATTGAGGCGGACGGCACGCGACGGCTCCCTGAATGAACACTAATTGCGGGAGACGATTGCGTCTGTGCTCTATACCAACGGGCGGACTGGCGGGCTCACATAGTGCGACCAGTCCGTGGGAAAGGAATCCCGTGTGTATGCATTCGACTGCAAACAATAGGAAGTGCAGACGCACTTAAGGTGGGCAAATAAAAGCACACGAATACGTCTATCTAGTATCTAGCTTTGATTGGTGCATTTTTATATAAAATTATCATGATGTTTGAAATTCAAACCAAATTTAATCGTTGGTATATGGTTAAAAGTGTTTACAAGAGACTTGTAGACACTTTTTGTGTCAAATTTCTTACTAAAGACGAGCTCAAATATCGATATGGGCGTGTAAAAGCGTATCTAATGACGCGACATCGATCCGCGCTGCATTTGTTAGGTAATCTGCGGTCGGATGCAAGTGAATGGTGAATTGTCTGTCGTAATTGTACGTGACGACGACAAACGAACAACAACTTCTCGTATTCGATATCACAACTCGATATGTTTCAAATTTGATAACAGCAGTAATCGAGGAAGAGTCACCGGTAATGAAAATGAATTAATTGATCGCATGTGGACTTTTACACTTGTTTCGTCTTAAACTAAAATCAAAACAAAAAAATCATTTTTGTATTTCAGACCGGTGGCTAAAGTGACTAATGCATTAGACGCAGGTGTCATAAATACTATTATAGTGACTGTTTTGTATTCCCTGAATTACTAATAAGTTCCCTTAGTGGATTCTTGGAAGAGAATTACTAAATGAATAAACTAATTTTATTACAGGATTATCCGAAAAGAGATCGTCGTTACCGTATTGAGAATTGTCAATTGGTTTCTATGGAATATTTGATATAAGAAATCTACACTATGGATTGTTTAAGTAATCTTTAGGTTGACTGTGGCATCACTGTGTGTCATCGGAACAATATCAAGTAATACGGAAACGGCTCATATCTATGTTGCGGTTACCCTTGTACTGTACTCACGTTTCAGATAATCCAAGTTTCATGTACCAACTTCAAGCTTTTGTATTTAATAAGAATTATTTATAATCTGTTTAAAAAAAAAACAATTAGAAAAACGTAAGCAATACAGAGGTGGACCTTGAGATTTAAAATATGTAAATCATATTTTTTCTTAACATCGGCAAACGCGTACAATATTGTTAATTCATATACGTGTTATTTTTATTTTCGGTTAAATCTCCGTTATTTCTTGGTTCACGATATTTAAGTAAATTATCGTATCTGTCCAGGTACAGATTATTTCAAGATTGATGCAATTTATTACAGTGTTTTAACACGAAAACAAGAACATAATGTTGAATTGATCATATTTAAGTCAATTTGAAGTCTTTGCCTACTCCCTTTGGTCTGACAGGTACGCTATTATCAATACTGCTGAAAATCAGCGCAGGAACGGCTTAGTCCGTCCTGCATACGCTGAGCTGGCTACCTTTTGCCACGAATATGTCACCTTTAGAATAAGTCTTTGTTATATAATTTCTATTTTGTGGCAATAAATACATTTTCATTTCATTTCAAATACATTACTTGTAAACATTTATTGCGTTCAGTTGGTTATCTTAAAGGTCAAAGTTACCGATATTCGCGAAGATTGGTACGCGTGTCGCGTAGTGTATAACTTGTCCGTACTAATTGTTATGACGCGAGGTGCATATCAATAGTTGTTTCGTCGGCTTTCAAACGAGATTATATCGTACGAACAAAGAACCGGCAATTCCTGTACTCGACTTTAAAAAGTAGCTGTTGCCCCAACTTCGTCTATGTCGAATTGAAAACTGGATCCTTAACTCTATTCCAGACTTTAGTCTGTGGTCCAATTTTTACACATTCCTGTTCAGAACTTCTGGAGTTTTTTTATTCATAATATTACTGAGATGTTTTTAGAATCTTAGTTGACTTGTATGGGTTATTATTAACACATAATGGTTATAAATAAGGACTTTATTTATATATAGAACGTTTCTAAATATATAAAATCCGGGATGATCGATGCAGGTTGCGCGCGCGCCGCGTGACTGGAATCCAACAAGTGTGACCTGTTAAGGATGCCACCGGAGTACAATGAAATTCCCGCACACTACTGTGGGAAACTCTTTTTCTCACATGTTATCTGTGACGTATTGTTATGTAACATATGACCATTGTACAAGATGTTCAAATTTTCCATCGAACTTCATTGATGCGTTCTCATGTAAGAAAAAAAAGACAAGCAAGGTGGACAGATTAACACGTGGGAGATGTTTTCGAACCCAAGTTAAACTAGACTTGGTCAAATTTACATTTCAGAAACTAATTTTGATTTTAGAAATTATGTAGATGCAGGCTTTTAATTCTGCTTTAAGTATAGTGATGTAACGTTTCACTTTTTTGACCGAAAATATCAGAAATTATTAGACCGAAATAAGATGAAAGTATTTTCTTATTTCAGTCCAGTAATTTCTTAAACCATCTACCTGTAATCGCAAACTACATGTTATCTGATAAATAAGGTGATTTTTACTTTTAATTCCATTAATATAATTATGAATAATAAATTTACATGGATATTATGCTAATGATACCAAGAACTGCATTCGAGCTCAACGTATGAATAGTTTGTATGGCGTAAAACCGCAAAAACAGCACACCATTAATAAACGAGTAATTGAAATTAAAGTAAGAATCTCAACTCCCAATTTCTAGTGCCCACAAAAAGACTGTGACTGTTGTCACCGTTAAGTTTTTATTATTGCGGATCTGAAAAATAATGTTGTGCCACAAATAAAAAGTAATGATTGGCAACTTAAACAGCACAAGCTATTCTAAGTTTTTTACCGAAACTATTGAGGGTCATTAACCACTGACATTACGATACGGCCGTTGCTTCGTTTCAATTTTAAATTAGTGTCGCAACAATATGGAAATATTACAGTAGATTTATTAGAGATTCCCTCGTCTTTTATTCACAAATGTTTCCCGGTACAACCCTTGTCTTTTATTACAAACAGGTAGTGACAAAATATATCACAGGTAGCGAGTTCTTGGGGTACCTTAACACCTTGTGTTGTTCAATAAAAAAGTTTTGGAACCGTCTGGATGGAATCTCAGTTTACCCAGCGGCCTAACAAGGTAGCGCTCGGAGTAAAAAGAGATCCACGATGACTGTGCACAAGGCTTTTGTTCCTGCATATACCATACACATGCCGTCAAACTGCATTCCTCGCGTCGCCGAAACGTGTTTCCGATTCGTCCAGCCCAGTCTTTATGACACAACTTAACTTACCTTTAAAATCAACAGTTACTTTTCCCTCGTCGCTCTCCCAAAACTTCGGGCACTATTCGTCCTTACTAACGTCACAACACAACGGAGGGCTCGTAGCGCGTACTCGTTCAGTTATACGTCATAGTTTAAATGATACGTCATGGATATAATAATGAGTGGAGTGAAACCGGTGGCGGCGTCGCACGGGCACGCCAGTCGCCTGCGAGTCGGGAGCGCGGACTGGAAAGCGCACTCGCGCGTCGCTGCGCGCCCGCTCGTCGCGCGCTGCCGGCTGATGCGCGGCGTGTACGCAGCTACGCTTGTCTCTTTCCCTCTCCTACTGCCAGCGGTACCCGTTAGACATATCTCTCTTTCCACCGTTCCAAATGCACAGTAGTCGAATCCGAGAATCCGTCGAACGAGTTCGAGTCTGTCGTGACTACTTTTCTCCGTTAGCGGCGCTTTGAAATTTCGTATGGCAATTTTTTTTAATGCGCCTATAATTACCGGTTTATACGAGTGAGAATTGCTTCCTGCATTTAAAGCGCGTCGCCTTATGTGTTAATATCGGATCGGCCGGTGTTATATTGATGATAATTTGAAATAGATTTATGTGCTTTCAGTTGGAAGTATTATAAATATAGCCGATTAAGAAATTTGTTTTAATTTACTGTTTAAAGATTCTATGGTTATGATTATGCCAGTTCGTATCTCGGTAATGTTTGTTATTATGACGCGGTTCAATCGATGTCGATGTCGGATGTCGCAATATGCACTGATTAATAATAATTCATATCGGGCACAAAGAGGCTAAGTTAAATGTCTGGGCTGAGGTCAACGCAGGCGATCGGAGCTCTGTCATTGGCTAGGCATGCGGCCCATCTACCTGTTGCCCGGTTCCTAACAAATAAAGGAATAAATTACAAGAAATAGACAGGTTTCAAATTATCGGTTCTGCGTATCTATTAATCATAAGATGGTTGAACTATGCAAATTTTTAACACTCTTATAATTTCTTAAATGAATACAGAGTTACGAAGTTATTATGTAAAATCGGGTTTTTAAATGACATTACCGAATCCGTGGCAAAACTTGTTACTTAACTGTGTGCTGTCTTTTAATTTCCTTTGTGCGTTACGTGATATTTTAAAACATGATTTAGATTAGAAAAACTTTTAAAATAACTCAGCCTTTAAATCTAACTACGGCGCTATGATTTACAATAAACTTGCAGTGCAATAGGTATATTACCTTAGATATGAATAACAATTATAGAAAAGTTAGCTAGGTACGGAAGAATTAGCCGTTTAAATTTGCTTAATTAAAATTCGCCATAGCATTTATCTATCTATTAAGGTTGTCGCACAATAACCACTTTTTTCATTAAAATATCGATCGAAATCTATACCCCAATTACTATTAGTCGTGTTCGGTATGAATCCTTATACCGTAATCTTAAGTAATTTTAAACTAAATCATAATAAAATAGATATATCACCCTATAAGCAGTAATAAACGTTTATGGACATAATGACTGTAAGCTTTTATGGTTGTTTGTATTAAGCCTGAATTTGGCACAAGGATGAAGAATAACGATCGATAACTTTATACAGCTACGCTCGTAATATTCCTTATTAGTCAATCACACGTTTGTACACATCTGTTTTATTTATTTTTAAATCAGAAATGTTTACAAAATAGATTTTTTTCTGTCATAACATTGGGAGTCACGGTAATCAACGTGACTATACCTCCTTAATTTATTGCTTTTTTAAAGATATGTGAAACTAGCTGTTGCTCGCGACTTCGACCGAACGGTATTAAAAATAGTAAAAAACATACCCTATGTTACTCAGTTTTAAGGGAGCTTTTTAATGGTGAAAGAATTTTTGAAATCGGCACAGTAATTTTTGAGTTATTTAAATACATACAAATATAAAAATCTTTTCTCTTTTTAATATACGTAAAAGTATAAATTGTAAATTTTAAATTTATTTTCGATATGTGTGTCAACACCAAAATTATTGTTGCTAGCAAGAAAATCGAAAATATGTCTAGCGCCAAACTGGTTTTTGTTAAGAAAATTCGTTGAAAACCAAGCCTTAGTTCTCATGATAGAATAAACTCATACGTAATGAGACGTAACGAATGAAATAAAGTTCAATGGTCCAAAATTCTTGTCAAACTAGATTTGCTAGTGCCAAAACTCGGCTCTTGTGGGCACCGTCTAGACGTCTGAATTGTGATATTCAGCAATTTTACATAAGTATTACTTATTATACCTTAGTATAAGATATCTTAAGCTAAGATAACATTTGTAAAGAAAATATATAATTGGAAAGCTTGAAATTAATTATTACAATTAAAAACGTAACCTGTTACTGTTTTATTACTCCATCGAATCAGGTTTATTAAAGTTGGTTACATCTTAAATGTGGACGAGAAATTATTCAGAATTCCGTAACCTTTCCTTGTAAATTATTAAAAATTTTCTTGTACAGAAGAATCAGTCAGTCATCCTTAGGGTTTTGATTATCTTCACAGATCATCTGTGTTTTGTGTTTGTGACAAAAATCGTCTAATATATTAACACTACTTTCTTAAGAGTTGACAATGGTTCAATGCAAATTCAGGCATAATTTGATAGTAGTCAGAGACATGCACCTTTTGCACTCTCCACAAATAAAGACCGTCGATACGTCCACCAACTAAATGTTCCCCCTAGGCGCAAGTAACCCAGAGTATAACAGATAATGTAGCTGTGTTCCTATAACTATATGACAAACATATAAGTACTATCTTCCCGAGACATGAGCATCAAACCTGACGTTCCGGGTTGCTCGAGACGTCAGATTGTCGTGCTTACAACTGGTTTGGCGACCTTTCTGCTGCACAACGAAAGAAACCGATCCCAGTGATAGCTTTATCGATCGAAACTTTTTAACCACCTAGATATTTGATATGAAATCGCTACTATAAATTGTAGCATGTATTTTAAATTAAATTGAAATTAAAGTCAAAAGTTTTCATTCATCTTTTATGATCTAGGACTTCCTGTATCGCTTTTTCTGTCACTAAGCGATGAGATGGGTCGTTAACCTGATGGCTTGTATAACTCGTTATAATAAAGTGATATCTAAGATTTTCTTTAAGATCGTGCGCGTTAACACGTGGATTTTCTTAGATAACAGCTTCTTTTAAAGCAGTACACATTAATGCATGTACAATTTTATTGATTTAAAGTAAATGCAGATGCCGTTATTCTCTCAGATAGTGTTGCATCACAAATGTCGAAATTACGCCGTGTTGATGTGTCATTAACATTTGTCGATTCAATCTCACAAAGTGGGGCAAATAAATAAACCTTTTTATCTGTATTTCGTCATTCTCATCTACATAGGCATAAGTATTTGCAACTGAACGAGAGAGCAAATTTTTTGAGTACATTACCAACCTATACATACATGCTTTGTTTAAAAGTATTAATTTCATAGTTTCTTATTCGTTACTAAAGTATGTGTAGTTGTGATTTGAATCCTTAACAATATGTTTTTAAAGTTCAATTTTTATTGTATATAATATCGTATGCAAATATACGAAAACGTGAGTTGATTGAAAGCTCACCACAATGGCGGTTACGTGACCGATTATCCTATTATCTAATTTGACTTTTAAAGTGTTTTTTTTCTAACATATCTGCGCTATTATCGCAGTTTAGTTGCCAGTCTCCGATCCTCAACTTGATAGAAAACTTATGATCATGATGCTAAATACGTAAAAACTATATGTGTATTACTTTTTTCATCATTATTGGCTTACAAGTCTCGGTCTCTGCTTCCAAATGGAAGACAGAGAGAGAAAAAGACTATTTAGTTTTTTTTTTATGAAATCTGAAATCCTGTCTTTGCTTTCCTAGTTTATGTCGTAATGTCTTTGCTCCAATTAAAATTTTATGTGGTGATGAATGAGATGTTCTTTTTGAGGTTTTCCCCCATAAATGTATATTCTTCAGCTTTAACATATTTCTAGTAACTCAATGAAGTGTAATTCCATTAATTTGCAACACTTTCTTGTTAAATTGTCCTTTCGGGAGATATGTCTTTCCTGGAAGGACGTACAGCTTATCGCCTTTAATGTGAAATAAAAACAGACTAAAAACAAAGCCTTTCACTTCTTTTTTGTCAGAAAAGGGTCAGCTGGGACATTAGATTTTACCTGTAGTAAAGTACTATAGTTCTCACCGTCAATTCTTATTAATTGAGTTAGTAAATCGAAAAAAAATGTTAGAAGCGATTAGACAAAAACCTTCATTCGATCTATTCTGAAGACTTTCTGTGTCGTTGATTTAATAAGGTATTTGTTAATTCTTTTACTTTCTTTTACTTGCTAGCGCAGAACAGCATAGCACAGATTTCAATATTATTCTGCTTTATTCAAGCAGTGATTATTATTCGATATTCAAGTTGCAGTATCGTTTTAAGTTACATTAAAAGTAATTGAATCTTGTCGATTGTCTTTGTCCGAGCAGTGTGCGATTCCGCGAAAGCCTAGTAAGCGATTCATAACATTCACACGGACTGTGTTGGACAGTTTTACGTAGAAATAACTTTTGGTTCATATTAGCATTCGTGCGACTCGACTCGTGGACTTGACAAATTATTATGTACAATGCGTACTATTACACGAGTGAATACATTGTCGTTAAATTATTGTCTCGGCATATTGCGTTATTTTTCTTTTGAATGTATAATGTAGAGGGACTTGAAGGTAAAGTTCAACCCATATTTTTGTCGTACTAGTGATAGTTTTTTTTACAATATCTTGTTGCAAGCAATTTTCTGCTTCTAGTTCTACCTTAAGTTGTGGTGTCCGCAGCGACTTGCCCGAAGTTAAAAGCCGTCAAGATAATTATAAAGTATTGTATAATACTATATATCTGTTTTATTATTTATTTCGTCAGATGTAATACTTTTGAATAGGAGGAAAAATAAAAAGGTAATTCTTGGCAAGTTTCTTTGAATTACTTGAAACTTACAGCTTACATATTGTTCAAACACGTACGTGACACAGCATGAAGCATTTGCGGTTTTTGACATGAGGCATATTGGCCGGGAATGTACAAATATATTACACATCACAAGGTGTAGCCATGAGCAGAAAATAAAATGGACATTTCAGATAAAATTTCGATAAGCAGCTTTATTTAAAACCATGTAAGCAAGAAATCATTTTTCTTTGACAGGAAACTCGGGTTGGAGCTGGTGCCGCGTCGAGGAGCGGAAGCAGTCGAGCCTGAAGATATTAGCCTCGTGGAACTATACAGAGTGCACGTTGAAAGTGCGGAGAGAGCTGCAGCAGTAAGTTTTTATAAAAACTACTTTATATTCTGTGCAATCAAAGTTGAAATGTCTTACTAAAGGACTGATATGAAACAGTTGCCTAGTTAGAAACAAACCGGACTGATTTCGACCCTGTTCGTTAGTGAGTTAAACGTGCAGTCACTAAGTAGAAAAATAAAAAAAATGCTATTGGCTGTTGAATATATTTAGATCGTTTAAAACATCTGTTACATTCTTCTCGTTATCAACTGTAGGTTCTAGCTTTGTGTAACCTTTTCCAATACTCTTTTGATGTACCTATCATATTACTTACGGCGAAATGTTTTCTGTAAGTCGGTCATATTAGTCGGGCCGTTTATGGGCAAGTTGACTTACGGCATATCTGGTTTCTTGCCACATGCGGATTATTGCATGTAACATACATTTAGGGACTAGTTGCTGTTGCTGCGACCTAACTAGTCTATGCTAGGGTGAAGTTATTGGGGTTATAAAAAATATTCATGGAAAAGGTATAGTGAATTTCTTTAACTAAACTATTACAATAATGTTGCTAGATACCAACGGTTACATAATCATAAAAGAAGCAATGAAGCTATTAATAAAAACCGCGGGCGTAGAAATTAAAATTGTGTCAAATGTAGCAATTTTATTGCAATTTGCACAATCCACGACACGGTTGCGTCACGCTAAATGTTTTTTAAAGTTTTGGAACTTAGCAGCGTAACCTTGTACTCGACTGCGTCAGCTTCGCCCCTGTTATTACAACTTAATGTTGCAAGTCATATTCGAATACAATACTCTAATCCAGTGGTTTTTTATGATAGTAAACAATGAAAACCCCTACAACACAATGAGTGTATTTAAAATCACATTTTCCTTTTATAAATCAAACATTTCGCCCAATAATAATGCTTAGAGTTTATCATTTTCAGAGTAGAGTGTTTGAAACTATCTACAGATAAAAGTTCCTTCAAATTAAAAAATATCGAGAGTAGGAAGAAAGCGATGTAGATTTTATAGTTCTTTATATTTTGTTGGTATTTTTGGATCATGTGAGTCTTACCACTCTTCATTTTCTTATTTATAAGGTCCCCTTTTGTTTGAGAAATCTACATTAAGATACATTTTTAGTATCTGGGCGAGGCCGTCACAGATGTTGTAGATAAGAACATATAGTTTTAAAAATTTCAAACAATTCCAGTGGCGAGGTACCCTCCGCCGTGCTGGCGGTTCAGGCAGCAGTTTCAACTCTGGCACTCTAACCAGTGGGGCGACCAGCGCGCCCGCTCAGTCCCATCACCTGATGTGCAGCATGCGGGACTTCGGGCACACCGCGGGCGGCGACGAGGCGGAGCTGTTGCTATGGTTACACGATGCCCGGAGAGGGCAGCCGTTGACGGAGAGATTCCGCGTCAGAATAGCAAGGGATGGATTCTCTAATTACGTGGATAGATTGCACGCTAATAGTACACTATTCTCTGTAAGTATAGAACCATTGTATAGGGTTATTTACAACTTAATGATAGATCTTACTAATATTATAAATGAAAGTTCAGATGGAAGGATCATTGTTAGAGTTTGTAGCCTAAACTGCTGAAAGGATTTCGATGAAATTTGGTTTAGATGCAGACGATACTCTTAAAGAACACATAGACTACTTACTTTTTTGGGACAGAAGTAATATTTCTATAAGTGAGTATGTCGGTAAATCAAAGATTGAAATTGATTGTATTTAAAAATAATTTATATGGATTCTCAAATTTCCAATTACTCACTGGAATCGCATTTACATATCCGTAATGTTGTCATTTGCATTTCCTCTTACGCAAAATTATTAATCACAGCGTAATGTAATGTGTAAATACACTGAATTGTTTACATGCGAAAAAAGTTACCTCAACTCATACTATTGTTTTAGGTCTATGTTATTAAAAATACTATAAAGATTAAGTAAAATGATAATATGAGATACTGGACTTAATTACCCGCAATAAATTTAATGTTTAAGTAACAAACAAAACTTGTGACAACGCTTAGATCGACCAAAAACCCTTGTTGAAAATATCATAAATTTACACTTATGTACTGAGAAAGTAGCACACTACAAATCTAAGTAATGGAGTCTGAGTCGTTCGAAGGATACCCTCAATTAGGGTTAGGAATAAGAAATCTACTTAGGTGATCATTAAACGACTGAGTGGTAGTCCTGGCTAGGTCCGATACTTCATGCCTAGTGTTGATTATTCCGGTATATTGGTGTATTGTAGAAGTGATTAGAGAATGTGAAGTGAGCATAAAGTGGTATTTATTTTATATAATAAGGAGGCAAAAGAGTTAGCGGTCACCTAAAATCGCCGAGAACGCGAAGAGATCGCTACCTATATACATCCATAATAGCCTGCGTTGCCTATCCGTAATCAACAGAGAAGGCGACACACATAAAGAGGATATTTCCTCTTCCTATGCGATACCTGCACCGTCAAATCCACTTACCATCCTTTCCGTATAGGAAAATAATGGGACACTCATCAAACCTGGAATTACTGCCACTTCTCGCCTCTCTTCTGCATGGACAAGCCGGCCCATTCGTGCGAACTTTACCACTGTTGTACTTTAGTGTAATTGACTTTATACTAAAGTGCATAAATGGTGCATTACCAGGATCTGTCGATGACGGAGTTGTCTCGCGAGTTGTGGCTGGGGGGGGGGGTGGTGCGCGTGGGGCGGTGGGCGGGCGCGGCGGGCACGGAGCGCCGCGGGCCGGTCGCGCGCCGCCCGCTCGGCGCCGGCGTGCTCCCGCTAGCAGACTTCTTAAGACAACCGGGACAACATCCCGCTGAAAGAGAATACACATTCAAGGTTAGAAGGAATTTAAATTATAAAATCCGAGAATAATCAATTTTTGAGGTTATTGCCGATTGTTTTCTCTGGTACAGGTTTATCAATGCGAAGAGAAAGATTTTCATCAGTTGCATGATATGTTGATACGGAAGCAAACAAATAAGTGCAATATTCTGCCTGGACAGCCTAATTATGGTAAATAACATGCTCCTATAATAATAGTTTAAACTAAATTTTTTTAATCTAAGTCAGAAGGTAGTCCTGGTGGTAGAAAAATTAGGCAGTAAAAGGTAATCATGGTAATGGTATGGGTCATGAAAAAGGATGTATCGCTTGTATCAAGAACTTTATGAGTGTGGAGCTACACCAGTAGAGGTCTACCTCTACCTAGGTCTAAGTCTTCCTAGAAAGAGATGGTTGGATTGTTTGAAACGTGATATTATCAAGAAGGGAGTAATGATAGAGTTATCTGAGGACGAAACCTACCAACCCTCCGGAAGTATAATGAATAGATGATGACTGTTTTTTGATATTTTCTTTACAGGAATTGTAGTAGCATTACGTTTACTAACGAACGCGGCGAGTATAACAGAGGCTGTGGGTTCGGGGGCGACAGTAACACCAAAGCGTGGGTTCCCTGACGTGATAATGCCGGGCGATGTCCGCAACGACCTCTACCTGACGCTGGAGCGCGCGGAGTTCGAGCGCGGAGGGAAGAGCACCGCCAAGAATGTGCTGGCTACAGTCAACGTGCATGATAACACGGGACAGCTTATCAGCGTGAGTATAATAAGCGATTTATTTAACTGGTATTGGATTTGAGTCGAAAAGTATATTTTTGACAATACTTAAGTATATAAACGAACGATTATGAAAACTTAACTAGCCTTATCAGTGTTATTTTATTATTTCATGGGGACGAAGTTTCGAGTAGTATAAGTTAATATGTAACGAAATGCGTTCTGACGTCACACAACTCAGTGAGACCGATGACGTCATTTGTCATGCATTACGTGGTTGCCAGGAGTGCGTGTGGGGCGCGAGCGGCGCGGGCGCGTCGTGCTACGAGTCGCTGGTGCTGTACCACAACAACAGCCCCGCCTGGGCCGAGCAGCTGCGCCTCGCGGTACCTCTCGACACCTTCACGCACGCGCACGTTCGCATCGAGTTCCGACACTGCTCCAGTTTGTATCCGTCCTGCGCTTTCTCCTTGAACAGACAGAGATAGTCTTAATATAAGTGCTATTTCATACATTCAGGAGTTTTTTAAAACGTTGAATGCCAAATTAGCTCTAATAAACGTATCTCGCTTACAGTGAATAAGAAATGCGTATATACTATACAGGGTGTAGGTACCGAAACTGAAAAAAATAGGAAAATCTCTGTCGGTTTAAACTAGTTACCGCTAGGCGTTGGCGCTTATTTAACGCCATTTTATTATAATTCTATAAAATGAGTCTTGTTTCGTTAATCCAGGGCTAAAAATATTGCGCCAATAAAAGCATCACGCTGTAAATACAATACCTTATGAACAGATACATGGAAATGAATTTGTTCTATTTAAACTCTTTTGGAGAATGGGGTTAAAATAACTAAGAAAGAAGCCAGAGACGTCCATGTTAGAAAACGATTCCTTTTTTCCTCAATTCTCAAACAAGAAACACCAATTGAAATGAAAGAGACTTGGTACTTATCTCGCCTTAACTCAAACATTAAATTATTGACTCCAATTTTAATGTTTGTAGAAGTTTTCTAATGTGTCTAATTATTATTTTTAGCTCGCGACAAGAACGAGAGGAAACTGTTCGGGTTCTCATTCGCTCGTCTGATGGAGGCGAGCGGCGCGACGCTGCGCGACGGCGCGCACGAACTCTACGTATACAAATGCGATGATCCTACAAAGTTAGTATATCTGTTACCTTATTATCCGATATATTTAGTATTTTGACAATACCAAGGAAATAGACAATATAACTAAATTATTATTTAAGTTTAAACCGATATGATATTGGATTTTTTTCTCTCTTGCAAAATATGTATTAATATGTTACATTTTACCTAGTTTTTTAAAGCTTAAAATTGTAACCTTAATGTATACTCATTTAATATACATTTGATTTATTATTTATTCCGTTTTATTTAAATATTTATCAATGTTAAGTCACCCAACTTCTGTGTAAAGGGGCCAGCTGAAAAACAGCGCAGAAACAGCCTGCACCGTCTCTGCATTAGCTGCAGTCTTTTGCCACATTTAGTTTTTTTACTAGCTTTAGGGTTGATGTTTGTAAGATTTCATTTGTAGCTGTTTTTGTGGCAATAAAAGTCCTATTTATGAATTTAACTGTTACGTACGTATAGTACGTACAGTACGTACTTGTCATGTACAGACATGTTCAATAAGTTAGGAAGATCCCGGACAATAATTTTTTTAATAATAAAACTTAGTTAAAAAATGTGAAAGTAGTAAATCTTTAGAAATAACTTAGTTGTGATCGTTGCAGGATATGATATTAATTTGTGTAAGTAACGTTGAAAAGTCTCGAATTGTAGGACGTGGCTTGACTCAAAGAACTATTTTATTCTCCTTAACTATTGTTTACTTTATTATTGTATTTTGTCGTTCGTTTTTCGTTATCTAATCTGCTGTCTGTGTCATTTAAAAAAAGTAAAAAATTAAATTAACTAAACATGGTTTAAAAATATAAATAGTAATTATGGAATTTGTTTTTTTTTTTGGTAAATAAACACTTGTTTTCAGATTACAGAACGCCAGTTACCTGTCGCTGCCGTCGTGCGCCAACGACGCAGCGCGCGCGGCGCCCTCTAACGGCGTCATACCAACCTTTCAACGGAGTTCCAAAGAAATTTGCACAATCAGTACATTATTGTGCTCAACAAAACTTACACAAAATGGTATTATGTTTGTTTTATTATCAACGTTTTATTACAGATGCGACGATTTAAGTGTGTAATTAAAAAAAAGTGAGTACCCTATGTATTTTTCCACACTATCCTCTACATCTATACCAAATTTTATCGAAATCCCTTCAGCCGTTAAGGGTACAAACTCTAACAAACATCCATCCATCCATCCATCTCAACTTTCGCATTTATAATATTAGTATGATTTATTGGATGTTTTTGAAGTATATGTCAATTCAAATATGTTGGTGGCTCAATGTCATCTACGATGTTTTGATCCGCCAAGATATTTGACAATCTTGATGGTACTATATACTAGAAATATAAATTTGAAAGTTTAAATTGATGGATGGATGCTTGTTATAAAGTATTAAAGGACCTAAAAAAGTTAAGTACAAATGTAAAATAAACGCTACTTACTAAGGTTTTTTTAATTCCACTGTCTCAAACTCTGGCAATCTAGTAATTTCATCAATTATCCTTTCTTATAAAAGCGTTATTAGTACGTTGTACTATTGGTACTTTTAGGCAATTACTGTAATTAAATTTAACACTCAAACCACCGCCCCTCGCCAGAATTTATTCTAATGACATTGACAGCTGTCAGATAGGGATGGGACGTATATGCCGATACTCTAGTGTTGTCCGATTTTCTTAACAGTACTATGTAGATTCAATGAGAAGTACGTTTTTAGAGGACCTACTAGCGCTACTGCAGTGGCGCGCTCGTCCGGAGCGTGTACAGGAGACCTTATTGCGGGTACTGCGACTCGGCGACGGCCTCAGCTGTGAGGAACTTATCAAGTTCCTACGAGATGTGCTGGATGCACTCTTCGCATTGTTTTCCACTGAAGATGGTAACAGGTTAGTGTTCAAATAGACTAACAGTTGGATATTTAATTGTTTTATTAAAAATATTTTTTTTTAAGAGTCAATAGTCAATTGCGGTTACCATGGTAATCTCACTGTGCTGTAATTAGCTTGTTTTTGTATTTTTCTCGCGTGACAGTTTTTCAATTTAACCTCTTAATAAAATATAAGATTTTTTCTTCATTTCTTCTGATTTAACTTTTGAGCACTACATATAAGGTATTCCCTCCAGCACCCCGCACTCGGGCACGGTGTTCCTAGTGCTGGTGTCCATCTGCAGCCTGCTGGACGAGAGCCGCTTCCAGCACTTCCGTCCTGTGCTGGACGTCTACATCGAGGAGCACTTCTCTGCTGCGCTAGTCTATAAGTACGTATGTCTGTTTTATGTGCACATATAATCTACAGTCAGAGAATTAGGTGGTGTAACATATTACAAAGTACAGTGTGAAAGTTTCATTTGCATTGTAACAACACAACGCGAAGCAGTAACCAATGTGATGCAGATTTTAAATTTATTTTTAGGAAAAAGTCCGTGGTACACGCTTTTTATTATTTCGTCATTTGGGCAGTTAGTGTTGGTGCCTAAACTACTAAATGGATCTCGATGAAATTATACAATATTTTATTTTTGTGTTTATTTGATAATTCTGCAACGGTTCTGGTGTAACACATCGTATACGGTCCACCCCCTAGAAATGACGAATTAACAAGAAATACATTTTTTTTCTATCTGTATTTCGTCTGTTTGTTAAATATTGAGCAGACGAATCGGTCAACAGTTTATGCTAAATGGTGGAATTTAGCATTGTTAGGAATAATTTCATATTTTGTACTTGTATAATCGCGTATATCCGCGACTGTACGTATTATATTGTGTATCATCACAGAGGCCTGCTGTCATCGGTGCAGCACTGCGCGGAGTGGGCGGCGGGCGCGGAGGGGCAGGAGCCGATCCGCAAGTGCTTACGGTCGCTAGGCGCGGTGTTCCGGCTGGCGGTGCGCTCGCGCCGGCTGTTCGCGCGCGCCACTGGTGGACAGTACGAAGACAGCTTCAGACGGGACGTGCGCGCTGCGCTGCATGCGCTTAAAGCACTGGCACAGCACCCGCATAGGGAACATCTCGCGCCCGCGCAGGTAACTATCGATATCGATATCGATATATCGACATGAAGATCCTCATAACTAACTAAGTTATATTAATAGTAAAAAGTAATATCGGAAACCTGTATTTGTCAAAATAATGAAGTAACGAGTCTATAGACATCGGCTAATCCAGATGTGCTAGCTACCTTTAAAAACCACAAGAATGGACATATTGTGAGGATTTTTACTTACGTGTTACATCCAAGTCAAAGCTTCCTCCATTCTCCCCATCCTTTCATCATCTTCCTCCTTGTCCTACTCCCGTAGGGTCAACGCAATAAGTTTTTGTCCTCCACATGACTATCATACGTCATCCTTTCCTTGCATAAAAAGGTTAGAAAAGGAAAACGACTAAAATTAAACCTGCAGTATGTACACTCATCGGACGAAACCTAGAAGCACTTCCAATTGATGCCTGTCTTCTGTGGTCGTGGTATACAAAGTTGTCTTGGTCATGATATATCAAAGATCCCATATCGAGCCCATACCTGCGAAGTTATAAAAGGTGGTTACATTCAGGTGGCTCTGATGACGTCATGGGCGAGCGTGTCGCGCGAGGTGGCGGCGGCGCTGGGGCCGGCGGAGGCGGCGCGCGTGTCGGCCGCCATGCTGGACGCCGCGGCCGCTAATGCCCCGCCCCCGCTCGCTAAAGCACGACTCAGAGCCGCACAGGATATACTTAAAGGACCACTCGGACAGGACCCCGGTTAGTAAACATGGAACATTTAAGTAGCAATATTTAATTTGCTATTTTTTTTTAATTTACAATGGTAAACTTAAACTTTCTCACCAAACGTAGACAAGACGCCCATAAATATTTCACTTTTTTTACATAAAGCTCTGAAACTGTTTTTGCAATTTATGGACCAAATATTCTCTACAACAAAAACATTTGAAATGTCTCAACTAAGGAACACAATAAACTTAATACTATGATGGTATAACCACTACATTGAAGAACCAATTGGTTTTAAACCCGCTGTTAAAAGCATGTGCACTTTTCATCACATTTTTTCACAATCTTTATTAGTTTGTTTTACATTATTCTCTAAAAAGTGTAGTGTCACGCTGCTGGCCAGCTGGACCGACCTCTGGTAACGTACAACCTCTACGTGTTACCAATGAGGCCGATGCGAGACATACATAGATTTTGTTTAATTGCTGATTCATTTATACACTGATTCCTTAGACAAGATTTGGAAAAAAAAATTGGCTTCTTTGATTGTTAGTAAAAAATTGTCCAACTACTAATTTAACCCTTATTTGCATGATTCTTTTTAAATACCATAAATTGAAACGGGTCGTAAATTGAACATAGATTGAGGGAAAAAAAAGTAAAAAATGTTCTATCAAAATAGTCTATTGGGTAAGGAAGAAAAGACTGATGTATAAATGTATCATCATGCATTTAAAGTTTAAATTACTATATTTACAGAGGCACGTAACATAGTGCTGACAACAGCCTGTCATCACTTGCGTGTACACTTGGCGCGACGTGACGAGCTGTCGCAGTGCGCGGACATGCTGGGCGAGCTGGTGACGCTCCTGTGGAGGAAGGAGGACCCTGACATGGTAGAGGATGAACTGGACCCGGACGTCGACGTGCTCTGTCTGAACACGCTTGATGTACTGGTGGAGACTGTACTGCATCTGATTGGTGGAAACTCGCCGGTACTAGTAAGTGTGCAAATATGTTGATAATTTAGATCTGGCTAGCGTTCTCCCGCGACTCGACGCGTATTAAAAAAAACAAAAGTGAGTAGTAGGTACTTGAAAGTTATGAATCATTTCTGTTTATGTGTTCTGTTCTACAATTAAAAGTATCCATTGTTGTATTCCAGGGTTCAATGGTGGCTGGTCTGCTGGGTACAATGGAGCTGCTGCGTCCAGCGCACTACCAGCGGCTGTGGAGCCACCTCGCGCCGCACCCGCACGACCGCAAGCCACTCAAAGACTTCCTTATGAGAGCATTCCTAGTGTTCAGACATCTCATTGAACAGGATGTACGTAGACTATTGAAATATATTTAAAAATGGTATTTAAGCTATGAAAAAATCTTTAAAGTGTGTAATAAATAATTTTAAATGCTTTTTCCAGGTTTTTCCATCTGATTGGATGGTGTTACGAGTTCAGAGCTGTAAAGTTTTACTATCCGCGTTACAAGATTTAGCTAAACCTCTGCTTGAGCGGTTTATGGGTGAAGAACCTCCGCAATTTGACACCCAGGTAAAATAAATCCTACAAATTGCTTAATTTTGTTCTCTCTGGCAATCGCAAGATGTATAAAATGACCTGTGATTCATTAAAGAGCAATGTTTCATACTGTTAACTTTGCTGCTACAATATTGGCAGGCGCTATACAAATATTAAGCAAGATACTTTTTTTTATTATTCCTTGTATAGTATTATATTATCTGTGTTATTATGTTCACAGTTGTGGTCGGGGTACTTGGAGCTAGGCGTGGCGCTGGTGACGTGCCGCGCGCTACAGTGGGAACGTTGCGCCGGCCGCGGGCCCGACCGCCCGCGCATGCGCGCTGCTGCCGGCCTGCAGGTGCTTGCTGTATGGAGCCGACTTGGTATGTTTACACTTTATATGTTGTATTTGATGATTAAACGTCACATTATATTGTTTTATGTGAATATGTGTTAAACAAGTCATTGTGACCGAAAGGAACGATATGAACTCAACTTAAAAACGTGCATATGTCTATATGTGCTCACTGAGGGGCTCGGAGTCTATACAAAGTTAGTAGGGGTAGTAGTAATAAATAAGTGCGAAGGAAAAGTTATACTTTGAAGAAAAACATTGAGATATAACCTGCAAATATCTGCAAAGAAATTTAAAGATATGTAGAAACTCAGTTACTTGTCACCTAAGATAAAGTAGGTTCGGAGCTAGAGAAGCTATTTAGTTGCGTGTCCCAGGTCCGGCGCAGCTGCACCTGATCGGCGTGGCGGTGGGCGCGCTGCTGGAGGTGACGCTGGTGGGCGCGCTGCGGCGGGCGGCGCTGGGCGCGCTGGTGGCGCTGATGGCGGCGGAGCGCGCGGCCAGCGGCAGCGCGCGCCGCACAGAGGCCGCGCTCGTTGATAAACTGGACTCACTCGTCGCTGATAATAAGGCTGATGATCATTATAGACGGCTCTTTGATACTGTGTTAGTGCATTCAAATGTCTTTTTTTTATTTTTACTTGATAGAAATCAGTTTTTCATGTGTTCTGTTTGGATTTGAATGATTTGATTGTCGGGATAAAACTTACACTTACTTGCGAAACAAATTAATCATAACTACGTTTTTACTATGCTTACTTCATCTCCAGGGAGCATTTGAGTTCAGTGTGAGTATGTCTGTTATTGTATACTGTAATCTATGGTAAAAACTAAATGTTGCCCCTTCTCATCATCAACTCTCTCTCTACTCTCCTTGACGTTACATCTTTCATACATGGTCTTGAGGTGCATTATAATTTCCGTAAAAGAAAAGTTTGCAATATTTATTTACAACATTGTCACATATGAAATATAAACGTAACGTATCGTTACGTTTTCCAGTACCGGAGTAGCTTTACAAGCTGTTCTATACTGTTCATTACTTTACATATCAGTTTGTCCACTGCTCAGTTTAATGGAGCGCGTGTCGACGGAGGGTTGGCGCGAGGCGGGCGCGGCGTTCGTGGGCTGCGTGACGCGGCTGCTGGAGCGGCTGCTGGACTACCGCGCTGTCATGCAGGGCGCTGAGCACCGCGACAAGCGTATGGCCGCCACCGTCAACCTACTGGTAATAGCCACGCCCACAAGAACACTCTTCCACGCCCACTCTAACAACCTCACTTGCTAGTTATTGCTACACTTATTACGCCCAGCGCCTGACAAAAATAAATAGCAATCTCCACGGTCTAACTTTTGTAATCTTTTGGTGAACGCATTGACAATTTGTCTCAGCTGGGCAGCGGTCGCTTTGCTATTTTAGCGAAACAACCTAGACAAAGTTCGTAAAATACATTCAAATAGTGTGGAATTGAGTAACTTTCGATAAGTAGATAACTTGCTTGTCTTTCAATTTGACATATTTTGTTGATTCTATTAGCAATAGTGATATTCAAAAACACTTGCATACACACAAACTTGATCACAAAGGCAGAATGCCTCTTAGAGCGCGCACACCTTTGAATAAATAATCGCACAACTGTTTAGTCGCGATATGTTTCCTATGAGCTTATATTGAGATGAGCACACTCGATTGTTAGTTGTGCAACTAAACAGTTGAGCTGCGATACAATCGACAATCGCACAACCGTTGTGCGATACTGTAATCAAAGGTGTGCACCCGCTCTTATTTGTCTGCATTGGTATTCTTAAAAAATATCTAATACTGAGTAATTTAAGCGTAAGGTCAAGAATTTAATAATGAAATGTGTGGTTTCAGAATTTCTACAAGAACGAGATAGACCGCAAAGAGATGTACCTGCGCTATGTGTACAAGCTGCACGACCTGCATATTGCCTCCGACAACTTTGTGGAGGCAGGCTGCACGCTGCTTGTAAGAATAATATCATTTTATTAATATATTCGAAAGTTGGGATGGATGGCATGTCTCTGAAATGTTACTCTGAATTACTGAAAAATCGGATAGATTAGTTAAGAGATTCTTTGATTTCATACGAACGAAGTCGCGGGCTTAAACTAGTTTTACTTTCTCAGGTATGTACATTTGTTCATCTCTGTGCTAAATGCGTTTTCAGTATTCTTGCTTCTTATCAATAATATAAATGCGAAAGTATATATGTTTGTTAGAATTTGTAGTCTTAACGGATCTCGATGAAATTTGGTATACACGTTGGATGACCTGGAAGAACGCTTTTCTTTTTTTTTAATTCCAATCGAACGGAGTCGCGGGTGAAGGCTAGTATTACATATTTAATTATATTGTTGGACTGTTACAGTTATACGCGGAGACTTTAAGCTGGGACAGCGACCAAATAGGCGTAGATCCAGAGCATCCTGAAGTACCGGAATGGAAACGTAAAGAGGCCTTGTATAATCAAGTGCTCGAGTACTTTGATCGCGGAAAGGTAAGAAGAAAATGTTGATGCCAATAAAAAACAATTTTTTATAAGGTTTGTGTCAAAAATAAACGTTATATTAAATAGTTTAAACTATCGTGAGACATAACTTTAAGCGAAAATAAAAAAACGGCTCAATCCCCGTTGAAGAAGGGCCCCCCGAAGGGTCTGCAACTAGTCGGTGCCGTCACCGGAGGATAAAAGCGTGAGTTGACCCGTTTTTTAATTTTCGCTTAAACGTTTTATCTTACAAATACAAGTAAACGGTTACTTGTTATTGCCAAAATAGCGGAGCGATAACTACATCTATAGGCAAGGTCGTATAGTAAAATAACAATTACTATCATACTAATATTAGAAATGCGAAAGTTTAGATGGATGGATGTTGTAGCATAAACGGCTGAACGGATTTCGATGAAATTTGGTATTGTTAGGAAATAAATTAGTACCGTGCTATAGAATTGGCGCAACTCTAGATTATCGGCATAAACGTCACGTCCCTAGCTGACAGCTGTCAATGTCTCTAGAAGTATGGATAGATTTGGCGCGCATCCTAAGTCTTGACGAGAAGTATTGCTCTGAGTTAAAAGCGACAGTATCAATTAAATAAGTTGTCTAATAGTTTAGATGTAGAGGATAGTCTGGAAGAACACATAAGGTATTCACTTTTTCTAATTCCACGCGGACGGTGTCGTGGGCGAAAGCTAGTGTTCAATATTTACGTTCAATGTTACCATTGGGCAGTGCTGGGAGAAGGGCCTGCCGCTGCTGCGCGAGCTGGGCGCGCTGCACGAGGCGCAGTGCGAGTACGCGCGGCTGGCGCACGTGCTGCGCCGCCACGCCGCCTTCCTCGACGCCGCGCTGCAGCAGCTGCGCCCCGAGCCAGAGTACTTCCGCGTCGGCTTTTACGGCAAGGGCTGTCCGCTCTTCGTCAGGGTGAGCTGCGACTGTGATAGTCACACTCTGACACAACTTGGTCACAATCTGACGTACTTCAGATGAAATCTGACGGAATTGTAGTCACAACTTGACGAATTTGTGACGAAGTCTGACAGATTTATAGTCAGAATCTGAAGTATATCAGATGGAATCTGATATACTTCAACACAAACCTGAACTGAAACAATTTTTAATTTACTTGTTGTTTAGTTTATCTTGTGAAATTACTTTATTATAATAACATTTGAATTCCAATACTCGAGTGTTTCGTCTTTTCCATTATAATATAAAAATAGATTAAGTTTACCCTTAAATATCAATGTCAAATCAACGTTTGCTGTTACTTAAAAATGTATTTATAAGGTTTTATGTAACTTTGTGTTCCAGAACAAGCAGTTCGTGTACCGCGGCCAGGACTACGAGCGTATCGGCGCGTTCACGCAGCGGCTGCAGGCGGAGTACGTGGCCGCGCACATCCTCATGCGTAACACGCCGCCCGACGACTCCATCATAGCTGCTGACGGACAATGTGAGCAGCAATATTAAAGACTAGCTGTTCCCGTGCGCTTTATCCGCGTTTTTTTTTATAATATAAGGTGGCAAACGAGCAAGCGGCCACTTGAATCCACCGAAATGGAAAACGACCGCTGCCCATAAACATCCACAATTGCAGATGCGTTGCCTACCCTTCATTGACAGAGGAGGAGACTCACATAAAGAGGACATTTCCCCTTCATATGCATCTCCTCAACCATCAATTCCACTTTTCCTTTCAATCCTATCTATCCTCTTAAGAAAAGGGTGGAAAGGAAAAGGGACTAAAATTGGGCCTCCGGCACCACACTCATCAGACGAAACGCGGAATTGCTTCCACTTCACGCCTGTTTGTGTGTGGTCGTGGTATTCTTACGGGCGAGCCGACCCATTCGTGCGAAGATGTTTAAGTGGGTTCTACCACTGTTAAAAATTGTTGAAGTTAAAAATTGGAAAAAGTAAAATTATAATAACTTTATTGTTTACATTTGCCAAATTCTCGATTGCAAATGACTACCGTTCCATAAAAACCTTGCTTTCTTAATGTTGGCAGCTTGTAGTTTGTGGTCCCTTTTCTACATGTTTTTTTAGTATAGATAATATTTGTAAATAACGAATATATGTATGGGAAATTATTAAGGCCGTGAGTAGGACATAGATAAAGCTACACACTAAATTTCTCCTTTTGTGATTTTGTATATGACTAGCTGTTGCTAGCTTCGTTCACGAGAAATTAAAAAAAATGGCCTATATTACTCACTGAAAACGTAGCTTTTTAATCGTGCAAGAATTTTTTAAATCTGCCCAGTAGTTTTTGAGTTATTTAATTACATACAACGATACAAATCTTACCCCTTTATAATATTAGTATAGAAAGAGACAAACGACCAGTGATATCTGGTTTCACGCCTTTGGATGTCATGGATATACGCAATATAAGAGTGTATAATCAGTTACTATTTTATTGAAATTATTGGCGTGTAATTACATTTAAACTTCATTTAATTAAATAGTTGAATTCAATTTAGTATAAGTTATACTAACACCTGCTACTATCTGAATATTTAAAACAAAGTGTATGTAGCGGGTTTAAAACTGTATAGATTGGTTTACATAACTCCTTATTTCTATTGGATTCGTTTATATTATATACTAGCTGTTCCCATGCGACTTCATCCGCATAAAATGATAAAAAAATAATTTTATTGTTCACATTTGTCAAGTTATCAATTGCAAATGTCAAAATGACATGACATGATGTCAAACCATGGCAACCTTGCTTCCTTGATTTTGGCAACAACTTATGGCCTCTTTCCCACATTAGGGTTTTTATCCAAAATATTTACCCCTAAGTTTAACGCCGTGAAAATATATAGCCTAAAGCGTGACGTAAGTGTAGCGCTTTATATTAAAAAAAGAGTTATTCCAAAAAATGCTGTGATTGCTGACATCTTAGGCAACAAAGTGTGTGTTTACGCTTTATTATAATAGTATATATGTGTTGTGCAGATATCCAGATCTGCAACGTGAAGCCGGTGTGCGGGCGCGCGGTGCGCGGCGGCGCGGCGGAGGCGGTGCGGCGCTACTACGCCTGCAACGACGTCGACACCTTCCTCTGCGACCGCCCGCTGCACAAGCCGCCCATCGACAAGGACAACGAGTTTAAGGTCTTTCTCACTCTACTCTCTCTCTCCTACTCTCCCATTATCTCTCTCATTGCCTCTTTCCCCCCTATCTCTGTGTCTACCTCCTCACTCCCTCTTTCTCTACCCCCTTCCCCCATCTCCATATCTAGGAAGATCATATAGGATGCATATTAGGAAGGTTCCTAGCTTGTATCCATGTTTGGATATGAGAATATGGAAATACATAATTACTATTTTCTTTCCAAACTGTGAGATAATGCAATTATCAACCATTTTTAGACTCCTATGTTATGAATTTTTCCCTTACTTTCACAATACAAAGATAATTTAATTTTGCGCTTCGAAATATTTCACTCGAAGAGAGAAATGTTAGAGAAATAGGGATGATGACGTAGATTAATGATGAATACTTTGTAAAAATGTTCAAATTATGATTTCAGAGCCTTTGGATTGAACGAACGACATTAGTGACGGAGAACACGTTGCCGGGCATACTGCGATGGTCGGAAGTTATATCGCGATCTGTGGAAGAAATACCTCCAGTTGAGGTAAAAATTAAATAGATCAAGTATGAAGTAAAAAAGTTCATTTAGGGCCGGTCTCACCACTGGCTGATAGAAACTCAGATAGCTTAAAAATGATGTCAGATAAAGTAACAAAATCCGATATTATCATCACATATCTTACTTTGGATTGTTATCAGACAATTTACAATTTGGTGTGATAGGCCTTTAGTGTTGTTTTTCATACTGGTACTAAGCCATCAAAATATCTGACAGCTGTCAATGTCATTCAGTTACAATTTTTAGGGCCTGTCCCACCGGTGGTAGATAGAGGCCCGGATAGTGTAAATATGACGTCACGTCAGATAAAATACAAAATTTCTGTCCCACCAATTTTAAATAGCAGATAACGCTGTGACGTTTTAGATGTCAATGTCATTTTTTTTACAAGCCCCATACAAAACTTTTCAATTCTGTCCCACGGGTGGCTGATAAAGAGTTCTGGATAATGTCGAAATGACATGAATGTCACAATGACGTCAGATATGGTACAAAATCCAG